GACAGAATTTACATTTTTGTGTGAACTATCTCTTTAAGACTCAGATAACATTCTTATGAACCTTTATTATTTCTTTTGATTTTAGAGCTAGGTTACAGTTAGGAAAAGGTTAAGGTTAATTGACTTCTAGGAGATGTTAAAGAACACATACTTGGAAAAAAGCACAGTTGGCATTTCTTTATTGAACTTTTCTTATGATCTTACTGAGTGTCATACCTTTGATAAAGTACATCTTTATCTCAGAATAATGGTAGTCCAATCAGTATACTATGCTAACCCTATCATCAAAAAGGCTGCATATCACAATTGTGATACATTCTTTGAACTGAAGTATTTCAAGATCTCAGACGGCGCTTTACAATGAGTCGATTTTTCCCGGAACTGTCCCAGGTGTAGGAACTCAAAAGAGACCCATTACAGTCAAGATGTGTCGGCGTTTGTGTAGCATTTGAGCCGAGGAGGATCTGTAGCTCTCTGAACGTTAGGAACAAGGGACGGTGGGCCAGATGTTCTGCAATTCATCTTGTGCTCTTTTCAAGAGCCGCAGTTTCCTGAATATTTCTCTCTGGGAGTTTTTTTTTAGCACTTATATACATCCACACAGTGTCATCTTCTGAAGTGCTTAGTTATTGGTGTTTTTAATCTGCTCAGATATGTTTCTTGTAGTGCAAATTGGCATGCGTGTGGTTCGAAACTCGACAGTGTTAAATCCCAATACAAGCATCTGGATGTAGACTGTTAATCTCGGCTTTTCAACACTACGGTTACTAATGCCACATTATCCGTCACCTGTTTACAAGGAAGATGTAATTATACAAAGGAATTAAAGTCTCACTTATTAGGTAGCTGTAATTTGGTTGGCATTTTTAAGCAAGTGTTCTCTCCTTGTCTCTCTGAACTGCACCCCTGTCTCCCCTCCACCTGTCTAGTATTTCTTCTGAAGCTTCCCATATGTTTGAAGGAGCATACATTATCTTTGTCTTTTTAATGAATGCATAATCAGAATCAGAGTCATTTTATTCATTATTATAAGTAAAGCGGAGGAGACCCAGGGCAAGTGTAACAAATCTGCCTGCCATCTTTTGGTAAAAAAAGCATTTATGCACCAATAATATACAGTATATATACTTTTGGACATTTTTAAAATCTAATAAATAGATTTAAACATGGTCAAATGTGTCAAACAGAACTGAGACTGGTAAATTCATATTACACTGTAAAAGAGATTTAAAAAAAAAAGTTGATTCAATCCAATGTGTAACTTGTCATTTCCTTGTAATTTTTTGTGAAATTTACTAGCAACTTTTGACGAAACTTACTTCATAGAGCATTTTTTTTTTCAGTGGAAAATGTGTTGAACTTTTGTGAAATTCCAATTGTGGAGATGAGATGATGTGTAGAAATGAAAAATAATATTTCAGTCAGATCATCAAGTCTGCTGACCTATATCCAAGATTTGAAAAATGTAATTCCTAGTTTGAAATGATGATGTCTAGGCCTGTCGCAATAATCAATATATCGACTTATCGCGCAATTGATGTCCCTCTAGTATGTCTTCTGCAACAGAAATGAAATCAGAGTGTTTGGACTACATAGCTACTTTTAAAAAAGGCTCACATTTCATTACATTAGTTCTGGGTGAATTATGCTATTATAATGTTAAGCTATGTGTCTCCATTTCATTTAGTTGCATTTTGTGTTAGTGTGTTTCATTTATTCCTAGTGGTTTTCTTCAGGCTGTTGTGCTATGGACACATTAAAGTGTTTGTAGTTTTTTTTTGGAGCTCCAGCAGGGTTGACTGAGACTTCAGCAGAGACAGGCTTGTTTCTTTAAGCCACTGGCTTTACTGAGCCTTTAGTGTATGTCTAAGGTTCAACCTCTGTGTGTTGAGACTTCTGACAGTGTACACACGTACACTTATATATATTTTTAAATATAGTTTTTTTAAATTTTTTATTATGTGTCATACTTTTATTATACTTTTATAATATAATTATTATAATTTTAGTCAAACAATAAAATATTTTTGTACAAACATTGATTTGTGGTAACTTTAATGGCTAGCACATAAATTAATTTCTAGACCATAAACTGACCTTCTTAGCCCAGTAAAAGGCCTCATCAATATATTGATCTGAACACACATTAACTGAAAGAGAAGGAGCTGGAAAAGCAACTGACTGTTACTATTCTGGTGCTTCATATCTTTCTGTAGCTGCCATTTAATTCGGCTCAACTCATTTTTAGTAGATGAGGTGTAACTATAGCTTGCTTCTGCCACAGAAGAAAAAAATAAATGTACAGATAATTGTGATTTTTTTATCTCATAATTCAGACTTTTTACTCCTAATTCAGAGTTTATAGCTTATATTTCTGACTTTCTTCTTTCCTTGTAATTCTGAGTTTATATCTCACAATTTGAACTTTGTTTCTCATTCTGAGAAAAAAATCTGAATTGCGATATAAAAAAGCAACTTATCTCACAATTAAGAATTTTTCCCCCATGCTTAATTGTGAGATAAAACATTTCAATTACCATTTTTTAACAAAACAAGCTCCCATATATATTTTTAAAATTGATTTTGTGAAGCTCATTTCATTGTAACATTACCGTATTGGCCCGAATATAAGACGACCCTGATTATAAGACGACCCCCCCTTTTTCCAGATGTACCTTTTGGAAAAAGGCTTTTTAAAAACCAAATCTTGTTTTTTCTCAGTAAAACACATTTTGTCTTCAATTATTTTCATATTGCATATTTTTCCTATTTTAATTTTTGATATATTTTTAAAACTGATTTTGTGAAGCTCATTTCATTGTAACATTACTGTATTGGCCCGAATATAAGACGACCATGATTATAAGATGACCCCCCCTTTTTCCAGATGTACCTTTTGGAAAAAGGCTTTTTAAAAACCAAATCTTGTTTTTTCTCAGTAAAACACATTTTGTCTTCAATTATTTTCATATTGCATATTTTTCCTATTTTCATTTTTGTTTTGAAAGTATGGTAAAAACTGGTAAAATGTACCAACGATCACATTTAAAAAATATACACTTTTTGATATACCATTAAAAAAAAACAAAAACAGGTAGTCCATCTGAATTAGGACATTTAAGCTATCCATCTAATAGTAGCCTAATATTCTGTGGAAGGCGTAGGACCAAGAAATGTTCATCCAATCAAAATGGCCCATTTGAAATGGCTTAGCGAGTGCAGTTTTGCGTTAACCCATGTTTCCTGTTGAAACAGGAAGTGTGGGTGTAGCATGTCAAAAGGCTTGTCCCAATATTTTTAAAATAGCCAATAGGCTTTATTTACATCATAACTATGACTCGTGATTTGATACTTTACTAGCTGGCAGCAAATGGTTTTAGAGGGAGGGGCATTCTTGTTCTAGAGAGCATTTGATTGGACAAAATTCTCTGTAACGCAGGATGTCATCAATATTTTTGGCCCATTTTGATGTGAAACGCTGTAAATTTTGAATTTTATCAACGTTTAGGAGTTTGTTAGCATATAGATGGCTTTAAAGCTAACAGAGATATAGTCTTTCAGGGTTTTCATCTTCACATTTCTTTATACAGAATCTTATTTTTGATGCTGTATCTCCCATCAGCATCTATTAAACTGCCTATCAATAAACTGGACAGTTTGTTTAGATCTTGAGATCTGTCCCGATCTTGATCTTTTCTCCATCATTTCTTGTCCTCTGTTCTATGAATAAATGCATCAAGAAAGCTCAAACTCTCAAGGCCGTAACAGTTCAGCTGAAATAATTAAAGCATTAAGTCCTCCATTACGGCAAAATGCAGAGCTCCAGTTAAAACTGGTTAATAATGATAAGTCAGCAACCAGAGTTAAATGTATAGATTAGCCATTTAACGGACTGGCTGTTTGTCTTCTGACTGAATCACAGGTACATTTGCGGATAGTACTTAAAGAGCGAACGATGAAAATGTGCATGGCCAAATGGGGAGGTTTGTTTGTTTGAACTGCGCTGCTTATATTGAGTGATATTTGGAGAATTTCTATGGGGGAGATGTTTGGGGCTTTTAGTAGCACAGCGTGGTGCAAGTGAATGAGATGGAAATGAAGGCGATTAGCATATTCACAGTGGTTTCAAACTGTCAAGCTGCGACACCTAAACACCATTAAACACAGAGAAGTTTATTTGCTAAAAAAGGATTGCATATTTAGGCAGGTTTTAAGCGTTTTACTGTTTTTAGATGCAGCTTCTACATCCATCTGTCTTCTGTCTGTCTTAATTTAACAGAGATCACAAAGATTTCTATTCTGGAGAAAGACAAATAGCTTATTCAATAAATAAAATGCTTTAATTGTACTCATAGTAAATCTGTTTACTCAAACTGTGTATCTCAGATTGTTAATTTATTAATATGAGATAAACACTAGCTAAATGTACTTATGGTGCAGACACGTAATGTTTTAGATGTTTCTCATGACCATATGTCAATAAACACATTCCCTGCACTGTAATTCACCAAATGTCCTTTTACAAGTGCTTCAGTAGCTTCAAGAAATCAGTCAAACAGACTTTGTCCTGGCCATTTGGTGACTAACTATGAAACATTTGCTCTGCAGATCACATGAACATATCGTAGCACGGCTCATTAGATAAACCAACAGATGTGTTTGTTTGTTCTTCATCTATTGAATCCTATTAAAGGGATAGCTCACCTAAAAATTAAAGTTAAAAATTATTTAATAACCTTTTGTTGCTCCAAACCTGTGTGGCTTATTTTATGGAATGTAAAAGATTCTTTAAGAATAAAAAAAACTCTTTAATGCTATCAAAGTGATTTAAGAGACTTAAAAGTAGCACCGGTATGTTGCCAGCAGTCAAATACACAGCATTTATATGTTCATTAGACCTGTTAGGCCTATAAAGATGTTAATGCGAAATTAATATGGTGAAGCAAGAGGAAAGTTGAATCTGTTTAATGAGTTTGTTCCAATCTTTTTTATTACTTTAGGACTGCAAGTGATCGCTATGTCAGAAAGAAGTTCAGCCGTAAAGAATACAGCGGACGGAGGTTATACGGTAAGCCTAAGATCTGTAATTTATTAAATGTTATGCCTTATGATATGCTTGACTATGTAATGCAACTTTCTATCATTTGAAATTCATTAATGAAACATCCTTTCATGCATTGCTTTTGAGCACCTCACCATTTCAGAGGTTTTTTTAATTTTTTAATTAATTAATTTATTTTTTTGAAACTATACACTTTGATCACTTCTATTCAGGATCACGATTCAAAGATGTCGGATGAGCACCGAGACACGGATGATTCGTCGGAGAAAACGCCTAGTAGGATGTCCAGATCCCCGCAGAAATCCTCCAAAAGACCAAAGACAGTACCTGTGAAAGTCACACTGCTTGATGGATCTGCCTATGAGACCGGGGTGGAGGTACAGGAGTTGCTGGCGTGCGCTAAAACTAATTTGTGTTGTTCTGTAGAAACATGGTGCCAGACCTCTAGGGCTCTCAGGTTTTCACATACTGTTCTCCAGTAACGCTGTATTCCTTTGTCAAGTCAACCACATGCCTGCCGACTGCTTAAACAGCTAGATTAGTTAAGATTATTCCAGCAGAGCCAGACAGTGTAGCTGAAAAATTATATATAGGAAATACTGTATAATGTTACAAAATATTTCTACAGTTTCAGAAAAGTTTTCACCGGGTCGGTGACCTGTGGTACAAAAGCTAAAAGGTGCGCCTTTGTAACTTATTTACCTTTTTTTCTGAGAGTGTATTTGTAAAAAATGATATCCTGTATCCAAAAAAGTCTGAAAAAAAGTATCATGATTTGCAAAAAAGCATAATAATAAGAAATGTTTCTTGAGCAGAAAATCAGCATATGAGAATGATTTCTGAAGGATCATGTGACTCTGAAGACTGGAGTAATGATGCCGAAAATTCAGCTTTGCATCACAGGAATATTGTTAAAATATATTCAAATAGAAAACAGTTATTTTAAATTGTAACAATATTTCACAATATTACTGGTTTTACTGTATATTTGACCAAATAAATGCAGCCTTAGTGAGCATAAGAGATTTCTTTCAAAAACATTAAAAATCTTACTGATCCTAAACTTTTGGTAGTGTAATTAAAATTATATATTTATCCTTACATTTTTTTCAGACTTCAGTGCCAATTATATATTTGCAATGATGTATTCTCTTAAAAGTGTGATTATTTTTAATCATAAGAAATGATAAGCATAATTTAGAAGTAATCCACTTGACATAATACAATTTCTTAATCTAGTTTAACATATTTAATCATTAGCATTAATTTGCATCAAAACGACAATATATACAGGTGCATCTCAAAAAATGTGAAAATCGTGAATACGTTCATTTTTTTGTAACTTGTTTCAAAAAGTGAAACTTTCATATATTCTAGATAAACATAAAATTGCACAGGGACACTTTGGTGACACAATTTTTGACAGCAGTGACAACAGTTTGAAAAAACTGATTCGTGGAAATGAATCAAACATCCCAACTCTCTCTGTACTTTCGCTACTGAGATTTAAATTAGAGGCGCTATAAAATACCTCAGTTTTAGCACTCGCATACTTTAGAGAGTATGTGCGAAACTTTAATTAAAGGGTATTTTTACTGTATCTCTAATAACAAAGTACATCGCAAATATGTAATGCATTTTATGGTGCTAAACACACATAAAACCAAAACCTAAATTAAGACTATACTAAACTATTACGTTTGACACATACAAACCAGCAGCTGTGTTTACAGTAAGAATATGCATAGATATTAGAATAGTGTCGAGCAAAAAATCCCAATGATGTTCCTGTGATCCCTGAACCTCACATTTCAGTCCCTCATTGGAATTTCACAGCCCAGCTTTGAGCTCCATGTTGCCTGCCGCAGTGCTTCTGGGAATTACAGCACATGAGATATGAATGCTAGTGTGGGCTGATGGGGTGGGGGTGTTCATTGATAGGCGAAAAGCCCTCCCACACTAGTAGCTCTCCAGGGAGCTCCACATACTGCTCTGAGATCAGTGCCACGTCTGCCCGTGTGCCCAAGGGGTCTGCCGGCTGATGGATTTCCAGGGTGTTTTCAGACATGGCTCTTCTCTTGGGTGTTATTCGTGGCTCTCTGGTAGCTTCTCCCATCCGTTTGCCATTACTGATGCTGCAACACCTACTGAGAGAGACAGACTGTCCAATCTAAAGGTCAAAGGCCACCTATACTTCCAGTCTTCTACGCTTGGCTGAAGGGGAGGAGGATGGGAAATCTATAATGGTGACATATTAGTGGTCCCATGGAGTAAATAATACTGCAGCCTTTCAGAGGAGGGTATGCCAGGCTTGTGCGTTTGACACCCTTGACTAAAGTTCACGCAGATTTAAAAAATGTGTTTTATTTACTCACCCTCAGCTTTGCTCCGGTTTCGTTTCAAATCTGTGTGACTTCATTTCCTCCACAGAACACAAAAGGAGATATAATGTCCAAGCTGCTCTTTTCCATATAAGAAAAAAAAATGGATTCATACTTACCAAACTTCAAAAGGACAAATAGTGACAATATGACAAGTGGCTGCTTTTGAACGCTCACATGTTAATTTCTTTAATAACTAGCCATAATAAACCATCTAAATCAACACAAAGTTAGGCTTAAAAAACAATTTTACTGCTGTGATTTTCTGCTTAGTTTTAAATGTCTGCTTTTCTATTGTTTGTAGGCTATTTGCTTCTTATTAACTTTTTTTATTTGTACTTAATTGTAAAACATAGCCATTGTGAATTATTAATGAAAAACCTGAAGCAATTTTTACTTAATTAAAACAACTTGAAAGCTACAGTACATGGCATTTTGCGGGTATAGGTACTGTATAGTTCAAGAATGACATTTTTCATCCTCATGTCATTCCAATCCTGTATGACTTCCATTCTTTGGTGGAACATAAAAGAAGACATTTCAGAAATGTCTCTGTTTTTTTTTCTGTATGTACAATGGAAGTTAATGGCCACCAGAATTGTTTGGTTTACCAGGATTCTTTAAAACCTATTCTTTTATACTCCACGCAAGAAAGAAAATCATACAGGTTTGGAACAACATGAGGCTGAGTAAAATGACAGAATTTGATTTCTGGGTGAACTATCCCTTTAATATATTAATATAACTATATGTAACAGTTGTGATAGGAAGTTTATTTACTACAATCATCAGCCTTTTTTGTCCTTTTGAAGTTTGGCTGTGCTGTCCCCATTCACTTTCAATGTATAGGGAAAAACAGCCTGAGCATATAAAGTTGTGCTCAAAATTGATACCTTTGGTAAATATGATCAAAGAAGGATCTGAAAATAAATCTGTATCATTAATCCTTTTGATATTTTATTTTACAAATGTACAAAAATCTAACTTTTTCATTGGAGAATAAGAATTTAAAATGGGAGGGAAATCTCATTATGAAATAAATGTTTTTCTCTAATACACATTGGCCACAATTAATCATACTCTTTTATTCAATACTTTTTGTTTTCGGATTTCGGTTTTTCTTTTCTAGATTTTTCTTGAAACCCTACCAAACAACATGTGTTGATGTGGGTGCTGTTTAATATTTTTTTATAGGCTTTCTGACCCTGAGACTCAACTATTTTCTGCAGTTCTCCAGCTGTGATCCTTGGAGAGTCTTTAGCCTCTCAAACTCTCCTCCTTGCCTTGCTTTAAGACAAAATAGACCCACATCCTCTTCCAGGCAGATGTGTAACATTTTCTGTTGACTGTAAATGTTTAATTATTGCCCTGATGGTGGAAATGGGAATTTTCAATGCTTTAGCTCTTTTCTTACAGCCACTTTCTAATTTGTAAAGTTCAACTATCTTTTGCTCAGAAATATATTCTTTGGTTTTTCTCATTGTGATGAATGATTACGGGAATTTGGCCTTTGTGTTTCCTCATATTTATTTCATAATGTGATTTTCCTCCACTTTTACTTTTTTACTTCAATTAAATGTTAGATTTAAAAAAAAATTTGAATGAAATATCAAATGGATAAACAATGCAGACTATTTTCACAGCCTTCTTTGTTCACATTTATCAAGGGTATGAATAATTTTGAGCACAACTGTAGCTAAATATCTCCTTTTCTGTTCCACAGATGAAAGAAAGTTGAGTTGAGCATGGGTGAACTGTACCTTTAAATATCTGATGTCTTTGCTGGAACAATGGCTTATTCTTAAGTTGATCAAAAGGCAAAAAGAGATCTCTGTGAACATTTCATTAATTCTTTTATGTCACATCATCAATATTAAAAATCTTTCCCCTAGATAAACACAGCAGAGCACTTCTCATTACAAGCAAGTTGTGAACATACTGTACCGCCTAAAATCACAAATGGCAACAAGGACAGTACTATTGTTAATCAGAACTCAGAGTACATTTCTGCACCTGGGGATCTATCAAAATTAAGTCCTTGAAGTGCATTAGGTTGGGCTAAAAACTATGAAATTGCCTTTACATACAAATATAATGTGCTGGTGTAATTGAGGGCCTCCCTGGCTAACTTAAGAAGCCTTTTTCTGGTAGCACACCCACTCTCTCTTTCTCTCTCCCTCTTAAAAAAACCTTCTGCTTCAGCCATGAGAGGCCAGGGAAGCGACACACACACATGCACAGACTCACACACATAAAACCTCATCACTTCTGTTGCCATGGAAACAGCAGCGCTGTATCCCTGTCGCCGCGGGAAACGGGCTCCCTGGGCGGCGAGTGCTCAGTGTTTCTGTAGAAAGGCAAAGTCAGAGCTAGTGTCTCAAGCGTGTTGCATATGCCACTCTATTGTGCAGAATGACAGGGTGTGGTCAGAAAGACACACAGATGCTTAGCCATGACTGAAGATTATATGAATATAGAATATGAGAATGAGGTTTTCTAGAAAGTGTTCATTTCTTGAGTGTTCATTGAAGCATTTAATGTAACAGGGCAGATGATTCCATTATTTCATTTTCTTATCTTTAAGACTGTAATCTAAACAAATTAATATTTTATCTCCCAGCTCTTTATATAAAGTTGGATATAGAAGTTATATATACATCTAAATTGCTTGATTGTTTCTATTGTTACAAAAATTTAAGCTGTACTATCGCTTAGTACACTCACATTAAGCGATATATACTTTATATCAAATATCAGTCTTGATTTCTTGTATCATCATAAAAAAATAGAAACTATATTATCATCCAGCTCTAATCTGCTGAGCTCGAAAAGGCACCAAGATATTAAGATATTATAAACATCGACATCATGATTTTCTTGTAAAGCTGCTTCATAACAATGCATATTGGGGGAACTTAGACTTGACTTGATTTACATGCTAATGTTCACCTTATCATTGACCCAGCAAATGGATGGAAACTACATGGATTTACTACATTATAGCATAAATCTTGCTAGTTCACAGCATATATGGGGACTTTTTGAGCCTCCTGAATATTACAAATATTGCATTTAATCAGCATCTTACTGGTTAATATGAGCCGGGCCAGATAATATGATGCTGAATTGTGTCTTAAAGGGGTCATATGATGCTGCTAAAAAGAACATTATTTTGTGTATTTGGTGTAATGAAATGTGTTTATGCGGTTTAAAGTAAAAAAAACACATTATTTTCCACATACTGTACATTATTGTTTCTCCTCTATGCCCCGCCTTTTTGAAACGCGTCGATTTTTAAAAAACACATTTGCATTGCATGACGGAAACCCAGGTATCATCATATTCTCAAGGGAATGATACTGTGTCCCAGTGAAGGGATTAGAGACACTCCTGACTTTGATTAAAATCGGAAGGGGGGCATTTTCTGCAATGACAAACACTAAATCAATCTCTTTTCTCTTGTGCTCTTTCTCTGTACTTGTTCATCTATCTATACAGAAGCTCTGTAAAGGACAGGTGCTACTGGATATGGTTTGTGAACATCTCAACCTCTTGGAGAAGGACTACTTTGGCCTGTCCTTCAGTGACACGGAGAGCCAAAAGGTCAGAGTTCACCTCTTATGTCATCCCATTGTACTATTTCTCTTATATAATTGCTATAATTGCTTTAACTTAACAGAGCACATATTGGTGAGCCTTGTGTAACTTGAATGTGCGAGTCTTCCGGTGTCATTTGCTTCCAGATATTTTACTTGTACAAAAACAGGCTGCTATGCTGCTTGATGATGCAAACTGGTATTTCTTATGTCAGAAACATGCTGGAAGTTGGGGCAATAGGCCTATGTTAAATAATGCTAGCAACATCAAGAAAATTATTAAGAAAAATATCAATGTCATTCAACATGCTAAAAACATGTTAGCAAAGTGCTAAAACATGCTAGCAACTTGTTTAAACATTGCAATATGTTAAATAATGCTAGAAACATTTCAAAACATAGCAAAATTGTAAAGCATATTAGCAATGTGTTAAAACATGTTAACCTAATTATGTTAGTAACGTTCATGTTAGCAAAACATGAAAGAAACATGATAAACATGTTAGCAAAATGTTAAAACATGGTAGATTCATGTTAGTGTTACGGGTCCCGGCTGCGGAACACGTAGGCAGATTAAAAGTACCTGAATTATCAGGAGAAACAAAAGCACACGCAAACTTCAGTGTCTTTCCACAGGCGCAGCTTGGTAGCGTCTCTTTATTAACATTAACATCATAGTAACAGTATAATATCAATTATATCATCAATGCTCCGCAATGTCCTTCTCAGGTAGACCATCCAGCTAAATTTCATATAATCACAAATTATGTTCATTTAATAAAACACAGTTATGTACTCTTTTGTATTTGTTTACAACAATAAAATCTTCAAATGCTCATTTCCTGTATTTACTCTTGTTTTATAAAACACATCTTAACATAACTCCTTTATAATAATCAGCATGCAGCAAAAGACACATTTAAATCCCTTTACTAAACCCTTATGTCTTCTGTGAAAACAGTTTCTGTATAACCATATGAAATGACACTGTATACCTCCTTCAAATCATCACACAGCGGTTACAATTGTATCATTCAAATTGTAACGGTTACACTTGACACAAATTATCAGTCACTCTCATAAACTATATACATTACTCTAAATAAATATACATTTAAATTTTCTGAGTTGTTTTCTGTTTAATTATCACATACTGAAATAAATGTATTATTATTTACAGGAGAATCGATTGTAACAAATGCAACACAGACCAACTGTCATTTTACCGGTACTTTCATCTGGGTGACTCTATTAAATTAACCACCATAAACAAGCTGTTCGCTTTCAACCACATAGGAAATGTGTACTCGCATGTTTTTACATTCATTATAACACATTTTCACATTTCTTATGAGAACATACCTGAATTATCAGGAGAAACAAAAGCACACGCAAACTTCAGTGTCTTTCCACAGGCGCAGCTTCACATTAGCAAAATATTAACATGCTAGCAATGTGCTGAAACATGTTAGCAACATGTTAAAACATGCTAAAACATGTTAAAACTAGGGGTGTCAGTCGATTACAATTTTTTATCTAATTAATCGCAAATTACATTTGGCAATGAAAATAACCACAAAAGATTATTTAATGCTATTTTTGTGTTAAATGAGAAAGTATTAAGTAGACATTACAAATATTAGCTTTAGAAAGAAATATTTTATTTGATTCAACATAAAATTCATTACATATAGGGCCTAAACCTTTAGGCTACAAGGGCCCAACATAAACTATGGAATATAAAAGAAGATAATCTGAGAAACATCTCAGTTTTTTTTTTTGTTCATGCAATGAAAGTCATTGGTAACCAAAACAGCTTTGTTACCAACAATCTTCAAAATACCTTATTTTATGTTCCACAAAAGAAAGTAAGTCATTCAGATTTGAGTAACTGAACACCACTGTATGAAATGTAAGATGACTTACAGGTCTGGGGCGGGGCCAGTGTGTTAACTGCTTTAAAATATTTTAATCACGTAATTTTTCATAACTAATTAATAAAGTTAACGCGTTAAACTGACAGCCGTAGTTAAAACATTACAGAAACATGCTAGCAATATGCTAAATCATGCTAGAAACATTTTAAAACATACTAGCAAAATGGTAAAGCATATTAGCAATGTGTTAAAACATGTTAACAGCTTAAAATATGTTAGAAACTAAACATGTTACATGGTAGCAATTTGCAAAAACACGATAGCAACAGGATAAAACATGCTAGCAAATGTTTAAACATGCTAGATAAATGCTAGCAACACGTTAAACATGCTAGCAATGTGCTGAAACATGTTAGCATCATGTTAAAACATGCCAGCAATATGCTAGAAACATGCTAAAATATGTTAGAAACAAGTTAGCAACATGTCAACCCTTACAAAAATTTACCATAATTTTATTATAGTAAAATTGTAGTAACCATGTTTGTGTGTGTGTGTATTGTCTTTTGCATAACTACAGATTTACTACAAATACCATAGGTAAAGTATAGTTAGTGTTAAAAAATCGTGGTTAATTTGTGGTTACCTTGGTTTAACGATAGTACATATATGGTTTATTTGTAGTAAAACCATGGTTCATTTTCTTAATACATGCTATCAACATGTAGCTAAAACATGATAACAAAACAACCATCTATATATACAAAAGTTTATTTTAAAAATTTAAACTACTTCTTAACATCTTCAAATGTAAAGCCCTTTAAACTACTTCATATTTTCAAGCCAACATAAAGTTTTTCTCCAGACTTTAGCATCTACAGAAGTTTTAAAGGGGTCATATGATGCTGCTAAAAAGAACATTATTTTGTGTATTTGGTGTAATGAATTATCGTAATTGTAGGCACTAGTGTGTAGCGCATATAGTTTTACCGTTTTCCTGCACTTTGTTATTCTTCTAGTTATTTACCTAGACAGCTAACAAATCTCAAACGTCTCAAACGTTCAAAGAAAACAGATTATTTCCATGTTGCAAAACAAGGATAACTGCTATAGATTAATTTATCAATTGCTCACTTGATTAACTTTAAATGCAAACATCCAAAAGCATTCTTATGTTTTCTTCATTTGTAAGTAGGATACAGGGATGTTGCTCAGTTAACAAGAGCATCCTTTTGTTTTCCATCTATTCCCATGCACTACCACGACCTCTCTATATAGAAATACACATAATTGGGTTGAGATAATGGGGCTCTGAGTCCTTGTGATTGGGACTGTTGGGAGGCAGGGTTTGACTGATGGAAATGCTCTGAGGATCACCCCAGTCCTAGTTTAACCATAAGGACCCTGCTTGCACCACCACGGCTGTCCCAGTCTTAGTTCCACCTTTTTCCCAGCTGAGGCTCCTTTGCCTGCTGCTATGATCAGCGGGATTGTTCCCGGGCCAACAAATCTGATCACACTGTAGTTTGCAAGGTGAATGATTTCCGTTTGAAAACCACATGTGTCAAGCATGGGAAGCGAGACCTGCGGAGAGCTCAAGGTTTGTTAGAAACACTTGTAAAGACAGTAACAGATCCAGAAACAGAATGGGCCATTTTTCAAACGTAATGGAGAAGATTTATGTTAAAGTATGAAGACATTTGCAGGCCTGGTGGGCAGATAAAAATAACCAGGCTTTCAGTGGAAATATCTTTGGTTTGACTTGTCTGTACAGCAAAGGACAGCGATTTCTGAGACAATTTCACTCCCGGTCCTATATTTTACATGTATCAGTGGTCATTTATGAAAGCTGGTACTGTGAGATGTGAATAAGGCAGTGCTTTTCATCTCCTCTGGACCGAGGTGAGCTGGCATTAAACGTTTTCGTGTGTCACCAGGCTTTGGGTGACCTTACTGGAGTGCAGTGTGCCGGAGATGACATTTATCTACTCTTTTAGTGCTCCTGTGGCTGCAGAATATTAATCCACTGGCTATTTTACAGAATATGTATGAGGTGATTGCTCCTGCCGTGGAGGAGACGGTGCTGAAACTGCGGCATTTGCTTATCAATGTGTCCTGGCTGATAGAGGAATTTTTGTTCTCTCTTTCAGAATTGGCTGGATCCTTCGAAAGAAATCAAGAAACAAATCCGTGGTAAGTGTTGGAAAATAAGATACTTGGGCTTTGTAACCTTGGTTGCTTGAATCTGATGAAAGTGAATTTGTGTCTGATTGTTTTTAGTGGGTCCCTGGCATTTCTCCTTTGCTGTCAAATTCTATCCTCCCGATCCATCTCAGCTGATTGAAGACATCACAAGGTGAGTGCTTCAATTCGTGTTAAAGCTGAAATGTGTAATTTCTGTGCCACTACCATCACCAGATGTAAGTGCAAAAATAAAGACTGTCTACAAATAAGTTTGTCAAACACTCTCACTGTCTCACTGTCACTGGTCAGCAAACCAAATGAATGAATGCTATTGGCTGAGACAGTGTTGCCATGCCGGCTGGTCATGATGTTTTGATAGTGAAACTATTTGAGGAAATGGAACCAGAGCTGTCATCTGCATATTAAAGAGATCGTTCCCCCCAAAATGACAGTTCTGTCATCACCCTCGACTTGTTTCAAACTTGTGTGAGAATTTTTGAATTCAGAATGTGTGAATTTTTGTGTTCAGCTGTTGAACACAAACGAAGATATTTTGAAGAATATTGGCAATCAAACAGTTGACGGTAACCATTGAGTTTCATAGTATGGAAAAAAACAATATTGAAGTCAATGGCTACCGTCAACTGATTACCAACATTCTCAAAATATCTTCTTTTGTGTTCAGCAGAAAAAGATACTTTAGAAACAGAAAAAGGTTTGGAACAACATGAGGATGAGTAGATGGTTTTTGGGAGAACGACCATGACTTAAGTTTGGACCAAACATTTAAATTCAATTCAATTCAATTCAATTCAATTCATCCTGTGATCCTACATAGGACAAGCCATTGTGAGAATGGATGGATTATCTTTTATAACAATTGAATATTATATAATTATAATTAATAACAATGATATTAAAATAATGTTAATGTAGAATTATATATAAAACAGGTATGAAAGCTAAAAATTATTATAATAATTACAAAAATTATCATATTGTAAAGTAATTTATAAGTGGTCCTCAGTGGAAGTTTAAAAAATATTGAATTAATATTTAATTTCCATGGTTAATTATTTATACACATTACATATTAGACTTGCAAGACTAATACACATTAATCACTTAGCACTTTTGTTATATACAAAATATAGTGCTAACTCATGCTACATGCACAACCACGTTATGCATGTCATAACTCTTTGTATCTGTCTTTATATTTACAGCTAGATATATGCCCTGTGTTCTATACATGGTCTGTTGATCTAAAATCTGAACCGTGCAATCCAAGTACAATCCAACTTGTCACTTTAACCTTATGTTGCTTCAGATTGATTGTCCCTTTAGTATAACATGGACATGTTGCATGAAAACAAACTCCAAAAGCCCTGGTCATGTGGTGATTAATCAAAATTTTGTTTTGGTTTAATTTATCATATATATATATATATATATATGATAACATATGATATAGATTCTATTGTAATTACCAATGTAATTTAAATTGATTTACTAACTTTGGTTGGGCAGGTATTACCTGTGTCTGCAGCTGAGGGAGGACATACTGTCAGGTCGTTTGCCCTGCTCGTTCGTCACTCATGCTCTGCTGGGCTCGTACGCTGTTCAGGCTGAGCTGGGAGACTATGACCCAGAGGAACACGGGCCAGACTACATCAGTGAGTTCCGCTTCGCCCCCAATCAGACCCGTGAGCTGGAGGAGAGGGTGATGGAGCTGCACCGCAACTACAGGTGAGACCAGCTGACCCCTAAGGGAGCAGTGATTACCAGAGCTGTCAATTAATTAAGACTTTTAGTCATATTAATTACATGATATGCTGATTAATTAAATGAATCCTAATTTATCAGAGTTTGCTGAGCAAGTCCCCCAAATTAAGATAACCTAAATTCATTACATTATTATGACAGAAGATAAAAGCTTTAAATAGACTTTAGAATCTTTATAAGTTAATGTATTTTTTATATCCTGACCCAGTTCAGTCAGTTTTGCAGTTGAGTTTGTCAGTCTGTCCAAGTCTGGGCTCAAAATACCAAATTTAAATTTCTCTGATGGTAAGAAAAATTCCTTAATGCATAATTTACTTACGGATCATGGGGCATGATTAATTGCACTCATTTTTTTATCACTTAATAATAATAAATATACAGAAAATATTAAATTACACTAAATTAACACACTGAATTGATAGCTCTAGTAATTACAGATACTGATAACAAGCAGTACAACAATCAAATAGCTCAAATATTCTGCAACATATGTTTTTAAACAAACTGTTTATTTATTCATAAAATGATGGCCTGTTATCAGGGGCATGAGTCCTGCAGAGGCTGAAATCAACTTCCTGGAAAACGCCAAGAAACTTTCCATGTATGGCGTTGATCTCCATCATGCTAAGGTATGATGGTGTTATTTATTTTTTTAAGTTGTACTGCTAGCATAGAAGTGTCTACCTTGTACATGGAGTATTATGAACTGTATGTTTGGTTCATAGGTGATTCTAGTCCTTGTTTAGCCTTAAAAAGGCTTCATTCATTCTTCCACAATTTAAGGCCTTACCCACCTTATTCCTGGAGAGCCTACTGCGTTTTGAATTATGGGTGGCACTTCAGGTTTGGGGTACTTCCATTCAAAAAGACTGAAACTAATAATTTCAAATCAAATCTGTTGATTTTCCTTCATGTTTTATTTTCAGACATCATGAGAATAACGTAACGCTTGGTATTTTAACGTGACATGTTATAACAAGAATATCTATGGCAAGAGTTCTTTTCAGTCGCTGCATTCTTTTCTTTTTTTTCGCTTTGCATTCCGATGTAATAATATGAAAAAGGACAACGTATACTGCTCATTTGTGGTCTGTTCTCCCGATTTAATTTACGATATATATTCCATTAATCACTGGCATGCTCGAAGAATCTCTCGTTTTTCCTCCTCAAATCCTCATGTCTCTTTCAACCCTCTACGGACACCTTGGCAATTGAATCGCCATTGGCTAGTAATTTTTTTAGTTTACTCGCCAGACTGATATATATATATATATACAGTTGTGGTCAGAATTGTTGGTACCCTTGGTAAATATGATCAAAAAAGGCTGTGAAAATAAATCTGCATTGTTAATCCTATTGATCTTTTATTTAAAAAATGTACAAAAATCTAACCTTTCATTAAAAAATAAGAATTTAAAATGGGGGGGAATCTCATTATGAAATAAATGTTTTTCTCTAATACATGTTGGGTCAGTCAAGCATTATAATATGATAACAAAGTATTATTTAATGACAGAACTTTAGTAATTATAATTTAAACTTGATAACCATGTATGAATGCATATTAGTCATTTTAACTGAACTGACTGGTGGTGGTGCTTTTTGGTCATTCAGTGTTTCTGTAAAAAAATTGGGAAACAACTAACAAAAATACTGATAAGATAATAATGATACGAACTCTACTAATAAGGATTTAAATTTAAAACGCACTAAGGATTAATGAGCTACTGGATTCATGAATATTAATCACATTGTCAGTCGAACTGATTTGCTGAAATCAAAACAGGAACAATAATAGGTGAGCACCAGCCAATGAGATTGCCATTTGCGCATTAGTTCCGCCCACTACCAGGTTTGATTGTTTTCACAGTTAAATACAATTTATTATCTGTCAAAACGATGGAAATCACTTTGAAATAGTATTACACAATGCTGATTAAGGCAACGTATGTTACATACAGCTATATATTACTAGAATGATATTTCACCCGTCCGTTATTGCTGTGGAAAGAATCACACTTTTGGGGTTATTCATGGCCTGTTGAAAGTAGGGGTGTCGAAATTAATCGTTGCATTGATGCATCGCGATGCGGACGTGGACGATTCTGCATCGATGCAGTAATAGATCATAATCGATTATAGCCTGCTGACGTCATTCGCATACGCCCTTCGTCACGCAAGTATAAAAAAATTCACTATTTTTAAAGGGGTCATATGATGCGATTTCAATGTTTCCTTTCTCTCTGAGCTTGGCTTTTTCCCGCATATGGCACGTGTGCGCGCTAGAGAGAATCGCGGCTGGCTTCATTGCACAGAATATGCGCTGTGAGACACGTGCGTATTGCTTGTGCTTCCACTCGCTGTTATTTTTACTTTAGATATGCTTTAATTTCTTCCGTTTGGAATGCAGTACGTTTTAGATGCACGAAACTCACGTATTAACAGACTTTCGCATGCGCTTTGTGTTTGTTTGTCCTGAAGCTCGATCGCGGCTGTGGTTAAATGCACTTGCATCTACTTTTATGATACGAAATTGATGTAAACAGTCAGTTATGTTTTTAGAACAGGACAAAACATCTGATATGTGGAAACAGTTCTTTGTTTAATTCTTAACAATAATTAATTAATGATTCATATATTAATTAATTATTTAACGTAATTATTTAAAAAAGTAGCCTGCTTATATAATTTAATAAAAATGCACAAGATAAATTTGATATAATCGTGATGCATCGTGATATCGAATTGAATTGAATCGTTGACATGATAATCGTAATCGAATTGAATCATGAAACCAGTGCTGATTCACACCCCTAGTTGAAAGTACCTCCATGTTCATGCTTTTACACTTTTAAATGTCATTTTAATGTTCAATGGTTGAAGGGTGAGTAGAATAATGTCACCTCATTGTACTCAGTAAAAAAAAAACTATTATTGCGCTCATAGAGCAAACCTTTCACTGATTGTTTACAACTTAATGGAAGTTACACCCATAATCCGAAATCATGTATCATGCAAAGTGTCATGGGGCATAGGAATAAGGTGCATAATGGTACAAAAATTCAGAGCAGAAAGTCTTAAATTCATAAAGTCATAGCATGAAATTTTCCATGCATTGTAAAAAATGAATATCCTAAACCTAAACATCCTTAAATGTGGATACATTGAGAAATTGAACAAAATTAAGTGAGTTTATATTTAAAGCAAGAACAAATACAGTATCTGCCAGTGGCTTTTGAAAACTTTTTCCATAATTCAGTGTTTGTAATTTTTGTGAAGTGAATTAAAAAGTAATAGAGATTGGTTTGAAGTTGTATTTTCAAATGTTGCTAATACAACATATTGACACAGAAAATATATTGATGTACAGTGGTTCCTTTTCTTGGCATTAAAAAGGTCTTAAAAGTCTTACATTTACCTTCGAAAACCTGCAGAAACCATTTTTGCACATTTTTAAATAGGACAATGGACTCGTACATGTATAAACAAAAACAATGAAAAAAAAAGAAGTGATTTACCAGCCTAACACTTGAAACACACACCGGGCCAGAAATTGCATTTATATTAGTTTTATTACCAAGTAACATATGAATTTGCACCAAAATGCCTTACATGTTGATTGAACACACGCTTTGCAAATGGGAAGATACTTATGTCAAAAAAAAAAAAATTTCCTGTCTTTTGAAAGTAGATTATTTACTTTGCCACTCTAACTTTGCATGATTATACAGTTATTTGTATTTTATTTTTTGGATTTAACAATGTTTTCCCTGCGGTGCACAACCCCATTAGAACAGATCTGTGATCCAATTATGCAATTTTACAGGCTTAGACCCCTTAGGATAAAATCCTAGAATCACCCCTGGTTTGAAAGTTGAACGTTTGAAAATGTGACTGAAAACCTGAGCATCTGAATGTGTCTCTGTGTGTGTTTTAAAGGACTCTGAAGGCATTGACATCATGTTGGGGGTGTGTGCCAGTGGCCTGTTGATCTATAGAGACCGGCTGCGTATCAACCGATTCGCCTGGCCCAAGATCCTCAAAATATCTTACAAGAGAAGCAACTTCTACATCAAAATCCGACCTGGAGAGGTAGAGAAAAAGGTCTTTTGAGATTTTCCAGGTTTTTCTTGTTAGATTTCGCTCGTAGATGCATGTTGAAGCATTAGCTAGATAAGGATGCGTACTGAGACTAATGCTGTGGGCGAGAAAATGGGCGGATAATCTACATGATGTGGTTTTATTAGAAAAGAATGAGATGTTTTTTTGAGTATTTGAAATCACTATTCAGGCTTTCAAATTACCCAGTGCTGTGAAGACTGATGTAGGTGTTCTTCCACCGTCTTGCATAAAGAAACTTAATATTTTTAAGCGCATTGCTAATTACGCCACTTAAAAAATGCCTTTAATTATGTCTCAACAAACACTAGTTATATTGTTTGAGGTTCTGCTCTTTAGTGGTTGTTAGCTTGCTGAGTGCGGAAAGGATGAGGGTTTTAAAACATTAGGCTGAGCTGTGAAATTTTTTTGCCTAGTGGGCACAGAGACAGAGAGAAGCAGAAAACGAGTAGAGATGGGGTGAAGAGAGAATTCAATCCGGAGAGAGGGAAGAAAGCAAGCTAAATAAGTTGCAGAGGTCTTTATTAAGTGTTAGGGATTCTGCAGTCTGCATTTATGGGGTTATTTCTTTGATTTTCCTCTCACAATGGGATTCTTGTCTTTGTTTAGCACAAAAGCATGGCATTTGTTTGACTCTGCTCGCTATGTGCGAGGGTCAAATATGGATGTTAAACAGTATCTCAATGCCTTTATTCGAGATGCTTCACTGTTCTGCATCTTATCAACACAACAGGCTCCATTCTGTGGACTTTGAGCTTTTAGATATTAATATTTACTCTCATTCTTATGCAGTTTCTCTGCAGCATTCTTTAGAAATTCTGGTTATGTTCTGTTTGGATAAATAAAGGCATACAGAATTGTGCCCTGTCGGTTGATTTGAGCTGTAGCAGCACACAGATTTTACACCTCGTCAAATCTCCTGTCAAGTAACACGTTACCTACCACTCTGCTTTCCCTTCACACCCCCCACTTCGTCCCCATCACATGCCCACACTCCCCTGCACCCCCAGTACGAGCAGTTTGAGAGCACCATTGGCTTCAAGCTGCCCAACCACCGTGCCTCTAAGCGCTTGTGGAAGGTCTGCATTGAACATCACACATTTTTCAGGTAGGCACTCACCGTCCTACAACTCCTGCCACAAAACTGGGCAGTCTTTTTTAAATGTGAGAATGCAGGTGTTTTGGTCTTGTTTGTATCTTTGTGCTTCCATTAACAGAGTTGGAGTCTCAAAATGTGGGCCTTAACCTACTGTATGCCTCATTATCAGGTGCCATGGTATAAATCTGAAATCCTCAGTTCCTGATCTGGATCTGGGGCTTGGTTTATGGTCTGAGATAAAACCATATTCTTTTTGTCTTCATAATTAATTGTCTTGTGTAATTATATTTTTTAGCTAATTTCCATTTGATTTTTTTATGTATTTAAAACTAAATAAAGAAAATATTTTTTTTTCTTTTTAAATTCTATTACATTAAGGCTTAATTGTTGGACCAACAGATCTTGGTCTCGATCTTGGCCTTTATGAGTCTAGTTTTAATCTTAGGGAGTGTGGTTTTGGTTATTAGGGGACCTAGTGTTTGTCTTGGAGTTTCTGGTTTTGATTCCAACTCTGTTCATAGAGTGATGCAGGTATGACATCAGAACCCTGAAGTCTGATTCGCCGTTGGTTCTTTCAATGATTTTTTTCAAGTTATGAGTAAAGTAAAGCCTGTGGTAACTAGATAAGACAGTTTGGGGTGTGAGTGTGAATAAAACACCAAAGTATTGTCAAGTTATGTTTGTCACAGGCTTTATTTTACTCATAAATTGAAAAAAAAAAAACATTATAAAACATCATAGGAAAATCTTGAGGGACCAAATGGTTCTGACGTCATACCTGCACCACTCTATTAAAAAGTGCTGACAGACTTCACTTGGGCTTTAACAATTATAATGTTCAATCCACTCTCATTCTGTTACATTTGGTCACATGTTTTCTTCTTGCATCGTTTCTGTATTTTCTCCTACAGGTTGGTCTCTCCTGAGCCCCCTCCCAAAGGTTTTCTTGTGATTGGCTCAAAGTTCCGCTACAGTGGGCGGACCCAAGCCCAGACACGCCAAGCCAGTGCTTTGATTGACAGGCCAGCTCCTCAATTTGAACGATCAATTAGTAGGAGGTACCTGCTGTCCCGCAGCATAGATGGAGGTAAGTAACTCTCTGATACCATCACAAAATACATTAATTGCCCAAATCATACTTCAGTTAGCACTTCTTTAATAGTTCTGATTTACAAATTTGCAAACCTATAATGAAAAATGTTATACTTTCAAAATGTGACTTCAAAAAGTGAAAGCTTTCACGTTCTCCTGCTAATATTCTCTGTTCACAATGCTTGTAAAGTAAATTTGTCTTAATACCAAATACCAAAATACTTAATACCAAAAAATGCTTCTAGAATTGCAGTTTTAAAGGGGTCATATGATGCGATTTCAATTTTTCCTTTCTCTTTGAAGTGTTACAAGCTCTTGGTGCATAAAGAAGATCTGTAAAGTTGCAAAGACTAAAGTCTCAAATCGAAAGAGATATTCTTTATAAAAGTTAAAAGTCAACCACGCCTACCTAAAACGGCTCGTTCTAACACACCCCACATGTCTACGTCACGCTGAGGAAATACATCAACTTCGTGCTGTGGATCGCTGGATCGGCTTTCACCGTGGACTAGGGTTGTGACGGTGAGGAAATTTTCCCACCAGTTAATCGACGTGTGACAACACCAGTAATACCGGCATCACCGTGGGGGCAGGGGCGTTCCCTCTTTTCCTAGCTTTCCTTCACTTTTAAATAGCTTGTAAAAGCGGTAGCTTTGTAAAAATCGACGCGTTTCAGAAAGACGGGGCATAGAGGAGAAACAATAATGTACAGTATGTGGAAAATAATGTGTTTTTTGAACCTTAAACCACATAAACACATTTCTTTACACCAAATACACAAAATAATGTTCTTTTTAGCAACATCATATGACCCCTTTAATATTTAATACAGACTTTTCATTACAAATTATAAACAGCTGGAGTGAAGCACTGAATTGAAAAATAATCATGATAATAAACAAATAAACATTTGATTTGTCTCCCTTTTGCTTTAATAACAGCAGCCCTCAAACTGCATGAACTCCACATATTTGAGAATGATTCAAAGAACATCTATTGCTTCAATGGAAAGAAGAACATGGAAAAGAAATAGGACAAGAAAAGTTAGTTTATTTCCAGTTTTAAATGAGATTTGTCCTAGATGGCCCTAAATTCTAGATTTGTGGTCTGTGTTATTTCAATAGGATTGTGAGTTTCCTGTGAGGGTGAAATAGATCCCCATGCAGATTTCGCTCATGCTCAAGTTGGTCACACAAATTTGCTGTTCTTCACACATTGCTACACTATTGACAATAGACAATGTTTGTTTGTTTTTTTGTCCGTGAATTTAACTAATGTGACCACACTTTTCACTTTTGGACCCTACTGTATACTGTATTTGTCAGGTCATCTACTTGAGACTTTCCTTTTAGATTTGAAGGTGACAGTGGAGGAATAGGCTACCACATCTGAGATGTCTACGCTGCTTAGGTTTCTTACCCTACATGATTTGTTTCTTCTGTTTCAGAGTCTGCTTTAGGGGACACTATGGACCGACTCTCTCAGCACACCTCCAGCGAGCCTATGCCTAATCTTCCCAGAGATGAGCTGGACCAGGACTACCTGGAGCCCAGTCTGTATCAGGACTTGGACCAAGATCACGAACAAGCTGAAGACCAGCGACTTGAAAGTGACTTCACTCCATCTAAGACTGTGGAGCTCAAGGTTCTGTGCACACAACAGTGTTTAGTGTCAGCTTCTTCATTTAGTTTTCTAATAAGTATTCTATTGAAAATAAGTAGTTTTAGGTTCATACCATCTTTGCGTTACGGGTGGCAATATGTAACTGTTCTTCTGAGCAGATTTAAACAACTAGTTGCAAGAATTCCAATCACATTTTTTAACTAACTCTCCCCTTGCCAACCCCGTCTCCCACTCCAAAACCTTTTCCTAACTTTGCCTTTCTTCTCTGCACCTGACTTAATCTTAAATATATTTCTGTGCCTGCCTGTTTTGTTGACATCTCTTCTGAATTTAACTTTCCAACCTCTCTACAAATCTGCCTCTACACTTACCTTCCTCTCCCTGTTTGCTAATTTCCTCAGTTTAATTCAGATTCTGCACTGTTCTTCCTGCTTCTAACCCTTCACTGCTGTCCTCTAACTATCGCTTCTTTCTTCATCTTCTCGCGGACAGAGGGAGGAGGCAGGTTCTCCTGTAGACTCTAAGACGGAGGTATTTTTAGAGTGATTTATCTATCTGTGTGTCTAATTGTCTGTCTGTCATTGTCTCAAATGCACTCTAAATCTGCATACACACTGCTAGCATGGCTTTAGAGTGCCTCGAAAAAATAGCAACGTGATTGCTATGTTAGCCACATGGCAGATCATGTAATTTTCCAGCCTTCATGGCTTTTCTTGAGATCCAGATGAGACCATTGTTCATAGCTGGATCATATAATGGTTATTTGTCAAGTATTTAAAGGAGAACTGTGATAGATAATGTACTTTGATTGGCTTTGTTTTTTTGTCCCGCTTAAGTCAATATGAAATCACTGCTGATACTGTATTTCCTTAATACACATTCCTGGTCTTATTGTGTGCGATTCATCAGTGCACATTATTCCAAAAAATGCTTTAATCGTATGTCAAAATGTAAAATGTAACTTCATCAGCTTCATTACTTTCCTTTTTGTTACCCAGGCTGTACTAGTGCAGAAAATAACTATTTAGGCTTTGTTTTAGGCTACTGTTGTACAGAATGGAGGCTTTCAAAAAACTTACCAGTAGTGTATGCAATAATGCAAAGCATGTAACTAACATTATATTAATTAAGATTAATATAGGTTATAGCTGTAATAATTAGTAACAAACAATACTTACGTTTACAAATAACACTTAAAAAGGGACACATTTACATCCTCTCCACAATCCAGTGTTTTTCCTCATTGAATATCCTGTTTCATTCCCAAATATACAGAACATAACAGATTTAAAAAGGGTATGATTGCCATTTCATGTTGACTTCAAGAAATATATTGGGTCTTGTTCACTAACTGTATGTACACAGGAATAAAATGTGTTATATATAATATTAGAAATGGATTAAGTAACTGTACAAGGTGCTATTGTATTATATAAGTATTATAACTGTATACAGTGCAATATGTGTTTTAGAATCAAACACTTGATTTAAGTTGAACTAGGGCTGGACGATATGGCCAAAATTGGTATCACGATATATTTCTTAATTTCGGTCGATACGATATAATTCCGATATCGATATGAACACTATTTATCTGAAATAGAAATCTTTTGTAACATTATAAATGCCTTTATCATCACTTTTGATCAATTTTAAGCATCCTTGCTAAATAAAAGTATTAATTTCTATAATTTCTTTCCCAAAAAAATAATAAAAATTATACTGAATGGAATAGTGTATAATGTTACAAAAGCTTTTTATTTCAGATAAATGCTGATCTTTGGATCTTTCTATTCATCAAAGAATCCTGAAAAAAAAATGTACTCAACTGTTTTGAACATTGATAATCAGCAAATTAGAATGATTTCTGAAGGATCATGTGACTCTGAAGACTGGAGTAATGATGCTGAAAATTTACCTATGTATGATCACAGGAATAAATTACATTTTAAAATCTATTCAAATAGAAAGCAATTTTAAATAGTAAAAATATTTCAACATTTTACTGTTTTTGCTGTACTTTGGATCAAATAAATGCAGCCTTGGTGAGCAGAAGAGAATTCTAAAAAAAAAAAAAAAAAAAAATTTATTTTTTAATGATTTAATTAATTAAATCATTAAAAATCTTACTGTTCAAAAACTTTTGACTGGTAGTGTAGGCTGATTATTCTTATAGATTGAAACAAATGTGCTTCAGCCAGAAAAAAGGGTATGAAAAGTGCTCCGAGTCGCTGCAGAATACAAAAAAATTGAACAATAACAAAAACTGGAAATGTTGCTGGAGACGGGCTTATTTAAAATGAAAACTCATGCTCTGCTAGCAGGAGGCGCTTTTAGAGTGATAGAACTAGCGGTTTCTCCAGTAATGGCCGTAATCAAAGCAGCTTCGCTCATGAACGCTTCTTTATCAGATCAAATGAAAATGCCATCGAAACTTTTCTGAAGACAGTCGGTTCCCTTCACAGATACATTTATATAAAACACCCGCGACATTTTTTGATTTTGAAACGTGCAGTGCTCATGTTTATTCAACGAAGTCAAACGGCACAAATAAATCAAATGTATGGGAAACTGGTAATGTACATCGAAATATCGGAAATGTGTTTTAAAATCATATCACCGTTATTGAAAAAAATTATATCGCGATACATATTGATATTGAATTATTGTCCAGCCCTAAGTTGAACATATTTATGCACATAGGCACCTGTTCTGAATTTGGCTGAAATTGAGCACTTTTTGTGAACATAAAAGTACAATATTTTTAGTGAAGGAGACCCAATTTTTTCCATCTGTTTTCATAAATCGAAGCATCACTTGTACAAACGCTTTCTTAAGTAGGGAGGAGCTCAGGGACATTCTTCAGAAACAGAGCTGACGTTTTGCCATACTGTCAGATTAGTCTTGTCTTAGCACCATGTTGACTTAGACTATTTGCAGAACAGCCCATGTATTGATTTGTGCTGGAAAGGTTTTGCAGGGATTAAGTATGTCATTAGTGTATCGTTTATCCATGCTCACAGATAATTTCCAGAACATGCCAGTCTGCACCTCATAAGACATGTATGATGAAAAGAAAGCTCAGGAGATTTGTGTCACTGAATTTGATACAGTATGCCATGTTGCTCAATGTGACTAAGACAACTCTAATCCTGTGTATCTGAGGCAGTGAGACAACCTCTTTCACTCTCTGTACTTCCATGGCTGACATCAACGTCTGTGTGAGAATTCCTCTCTCTGTTTGGCTGCCTGCTTTATGAATTCAACCATGCTCTGCCTCTCTGTCTCCACTACCTCACTTTGCCTCTGCCTCCGTTCCTTGGCTTGCACCACCATCCCCCTCCCCCCACCACCCCTTTATCCCAGTCGGACCAGGACTTGGCCCCACGTCCTAAACAGGAGGTACTATTTCTCATCGATCAAATGCCTGAGCTGTCACTCTCTGTAACTACACGTGTTGCAGTTTCTCTTTCTTTCTGTAATTGTTTTCTAGAGGAAGTAACAGAAAACTGAGCCAAGATGGCAGTTCATCTGACATCTGTTACCAACACCAGCATGTTTCATGCTTTATGTGCTGCTTTGTTGTCTTAAATGTTGACGATGTAGTGATTCATAAAGAAGAGGGCTCAAATCATATAGACAGATGTTTGTCGTGATCTGTAGGCATCACAGTATTTACTGTACACAGCATGTTAGAGTATTAGACTAAAATGATGCTGTGTCTAAAATGTTCTCTTGAAAAGAAGAATGTACAGTCTAAAGTGATGGAACAGATCATTTTATTCATATTGGTTTATTGGAGTCTTCTATTATTTCAACATGCTTATTCATGTATTTCAAGAACAGAACGTGCCTGATGTTTGCATTTGCCTACTTATTATGTACTTACCACGGTTAGATAAACATTTGTAAACAGCTGTGCTGGTCTCCAGAAAGCCCTCACTTAAAGGGTTAGTTCACCCAAAAATGAAAATTCTGTCATTAATTACTCACCCTTGTGTTGTTCGAAACCCGTAAGACCGGAACACAATTTAAGATATTTTGATGAAATCTGAGAGCTCTCTGACCCTCCCATACTGTCCCTGTTCACGACAGTATCGTGACGCGAGCGTGTGGCGGCGCTGACCCAGATCCAGCATAATGACGTCATCACGCCGGATCTGGGTCAGCGCCAGCGCCGGCACCGCCACACGCTCGCGTCATGATACTGTCATGATACACAAGTGAAGCAGTAGAGACGAAAATGTGGTGATAATATCGTTGTTATGTTTTCTTTGCGCAAAAAAGTATTCTCGTAGCTTCGTAACTTTACTTGAAAAGAGCGCTGAGAGAGCCCAACAGCAAACTGGTCCACAGAGAGAAACGTCTCTCTGGAGCCTCGTCTGGTAGCACTCCGGAGAAAAAATCTGTGAGTAATTGGTACCTGCAAGGAATCGTATTGTGCGGTCACGGTGCCTTTTTAAAAATCAAAATGCTATATAATTAATGTTATTTTAGTCTGATACTGCTTTAAGATTCCTGTTGTGGATTATTCAGATTTATGTCAGTACCGGTCTCAGATTTAGTGTGCCGAATGCTTGATTCGTTATTCATGCACTCTTTTTTTAATATGACTAATCTCTCTTTAAGTGGATGCTGTTGAACCATTTCATGTCATGCCTCTGGTCAAGTGCTAGCAGCAATTTTGATCTTTAATAGAATCTGGCTGGAGTGGTTTATTTGAACACAGCATGAATGCATTTTCTTTAATTACTGTTAAGAAGACAGTGATATTGTTTGATAATAAAAGCAAATGGCATTTTAAGTACTTATGTACATGAATGTCTCCCTTTTGTTTAACTTCAAAACATCCATCCAACATTGTACATAAAATTGAACTTGATAACATGAATTTTTTCCTCCTCAGATCAATAAATTATCTTGCGTCATAAGATTTTTTCAGATTCATATTGAAAATTTATGCGCTATACAAATTACAGTAGAGGGTGTTGTTGGCACTGATAGGGCATTGAAACTGTTCACTCTATTGATATATAGGCCTCAGAGGATTCCCTATTGATTGAGAAGCAAGATGGTTGTCAAAGAAACCTGCCCCTCAGTAAAAAAGATGAAAAGAGCAGGAGTCCTAGAGTAGCTTCATTAGCCACTGGATTCAACAGAGAGACAGAAGATAAAATGAGAGGGAAAACCATCACAACACACAGTGTCATAAGAGAAAAACAAAGTGTAGCAAAAAGGACCTCAACAGAAACCATCCTATCGCCAGAGAAGCCCCTGAGAAATCGTGCTAAAAGCCCTGCTTTAAGGTACAACCATTTCCAGGGTTCTGGTTCTTTGGAGGAGAAAGCATATGATAATGGGCACCCTCAGGACAGATGTTTGTCAGAGAATGTCATTCATACAAATGGATGTGATGAATATGCAACAGAGAGACTCTGGGGCAATAAAAAGTACATGGGGGTAACCAATAGAGAAGACAATGACTTGGCAAGGTATGTAGAGAGAAGCTTCGGAGAGGCTTCTCCCAATGCAGCCATGGACAAATATATGAGAGATCGATATAATGAAAACCGGTGGGAGAGGCAATCCTGTGAAACAGAATCAGAAAACACCAGAGCAACCTTACAGAAGCAAACATCTAAACCGGATTCAAAGGGTAAAGGCTCAACAATCCAGAGACATGATTCTACTGCAAGCGACACATCACAGTCTGAGGTGAAACGAATCGTTCCACTGAAGCCTGAGAGGTCAAAGAAGTTGAAAGGCAATAAAGGAGCCAAGCTGCAAGGACAACCGAGTGAAAAAAGCATTTCAGGATCATTTGATGAAAGTGAAGAGACCAAGTCTAAGGAGGAGCAAGTTGGCTTTGAGAATGCCCTGGACAGCTTGTCACAGCCCAGAAATTCTGCAGCTTTAGAAAGCACTGGAACTTTTGCCAAGCAAGACTGGGCGAGTAATTGTCACAATAGGGAAATTAGAGAATATAGCTGTCAGTCTCTCCAAGACAGGCCCCAATTAAGGGATCTCAAGAACAATGCAGACCACAGACTTAGTATCGAACAAGATCAGTTTCTTTTTGAAGATCCATTGTTTATGTTTGACTTTCCCACCAATTCAGCATTTCCAGCATTTGACCAGATTCCCCCTTTATACCCACCTGTAAAATCCCAGAGGGCAAGAGATACACGTACCAAACCTATCACCAAAAGCGATTCTGGCAACAGTCTTCACAAGAGCTCCACAATGGAATCTTCCAAGAGGAAACCAGTGGTAACAACTGCTTGATAATCTGCTTGTCATTCACAGGAACTAAAGCATCGCATGAAACGACACATCCATATCTATAGTTTTGCATAATGCACATGTCAGTAAACATAAGCAACCTGTTTCTGAGGAGAGTTGAGTAGAACAGTCAGCTTTTTGTGTAATCGTAGCATTGGCTGATAGAGGTATGAGGTACTATAACCGCTGTCTGATTGGATGAGGACGTGCCACTTCCTTTTCCTCTCCTTCCTCTGCACAGCTCAACATCTGCTTGCGCATTTGAGAAACACTTAGGATCTTCCACATAATCTCCATTGCTTAAGCTTCAGGCTTCCGTTCCACTAACTTTCCACCTGATGTGCGGCCTTTCCTTCCAACATTCTTTCTCTTGTTCCTTCTTACCAGGCATGTAGGGAATGGTTGTTGCAAGGAATCAAAGGCCTGTGCACCATATTGTTATGCTAAAATGCCATTTTTGCAAACAAAAGGGCTTCTGCAAGACTTTCAAAAATGGCCATGGTATTGTTCATAAGAAGGGCTCTGAAAGTTGATTTAACAAGGAACGGTTTTAGCTATCATTTAGAATATAATATGCCCAGCTTCATTATTAAGGATTTTGAATTTGCTCTTTGACTTGGCTGGAAAATAATTGGTCAATAATTTATTTTACAACAAACTGCAGGAAACCTTGAGGGCTTTCTCTTTTTTATGCAAAAGCCCACGGAGCTGCAATTTCAATAGTCACCAGTTGTTGTCAAAACAGATACTACCGTATTTCACTTAACATTGAAACTGAAAGAAATTAATTAAAAAATAATAATAAAAAACCTGGACTAGAAGAGCCTGAGGAATAACCATGCAAAATGATGTCTAATATAGATATAATGTTCTGATTGATTAAAAGGCTCTTTAGTGGCACTTAGTGCAAAATTGCACCCAGCTGCCATAATATATTTTAACTTTCAATTGTTGTGGTGCAATATGCTGTACGCTCCAGTTCACACTGTTGAAGACTCTTTGTCTACATTTGTATCTGTGTCAGTCAGTGTATTCGGTCAGTTATATAAATGTCTGGTTGTTGGTTCAGAGCCTAGTCTGGGCTCCTTCCCTGTTATCTCAAATTTCAGTGCACTAACTTTGCATTGCTCTTCCTATTATTTCATCTCATATTCCAGGAGCCCCTTCCCACTCCAGCAATTCATGCGGAGCCTCAGGAGGAAGCCCAGGTGCCTCATTTTTCCACTCATCTTAGCTACTGCTACCTCCTTGCTAACCCAAAAGCTTTGACTTTCACATTTTTGTACACATAAGCACTTATATTTGCCTTCTGTCTTCTGCTCCCATCATCACAGCATGAATTAAGTGCATGATCCAAACCATCCTACACAGCAATCCTACACAGAAATGTCATTGAATGCATCCACCACATGCATTGATTCCTTGGCACAGTTTAGGAAGTTGCCACACTTAGCATGACTTTAACATGAAGTTGTAAAAATGGCTATAAACACTGAAATTGCTGTGAAGGAATAATACATGAACTAAACATACAGAATTGCAGTACTCTACCCTTGGGTGAACATTTTCTATCAGTATATTATTGTCTCAGTTTTTCCTCAGAGACATGTAACACTTCTGACATTTCAGTTAGTCTTTTGAGTTGAACTAACCCCTGCATCCCTACTAGATTCTTTAACCATCAGTCATTACAATGTTGTCTCATTCTTGTCTTGTAAAGAAGATGTAACATCCATTACACTGCCTTGTTTTACCTGTTTGTCAGTCAACATTTGCTCTTGTAGCATAGCTGGTTCCTTGCACCAAGACCTATTTTTCTGCTTCTTCAGAGAGAGCCCTGGGAGAGACGCTTAGGATCGGTGTCAGAAGATGATCCTGACCCAGACACTCTGTACCTGAAGGAGACCCACCTGGGCATTGAGCGCAAATGCTCGAGTATCACTGTTAGCTCAACGTCCAGCCTGGAGGCTGAGGTGGACTTCACTGTGCTCATGGACTTCCAAACGGGTATCGAGGAATTTTCTAGAGGCATGACTGAGCTGGGGGAGAGAGACTTCTCACCTGAGTTTGGCCTCTCTGACCGTCCCACCCATCCAGCCTTTATACTGGGAGCAGATCCTATCTATCTTCCAGAGGAGAGACCTGTAGAAGTACCAAGGCCCGTAGAGAAACCAAAGCCTGTTGTAGAACAGAAGCCACCGGAGGAACGTAAACCAGAGGTAGACAAGTGTCTTATCTCTTTCAGCAAAGTGGCTGGCTCACCCAATCACTGGTCAGAGTAAATGTGTAAATGTGCTGATGGATGCAGTCACATCCCATTTTTTTCTCACATTCTACAGGGCATCAGAGCAAAGCATGAAATTACATTGGAATTTGAGTTCATGATTGATGCTAATTCCATTCCATTTGATGCTGCCCTCCATAGTTCAGTCAGTCAGTTCAGGTTTGGTTTCTTTTGATTTAAGAATTTTGTTATGTTTTTCATTGCTTCTTATTCTTTTCTTTTGAACCATGACTCACCATATGCTGCCAAGTTCATTTGATTGGCACTGTGTTTCTTAAATCTCATGATCATTCCCAGGTTTCAACTTTATCTGTTTCATTTCTTTCCCAAGCCTTTTGTACCTAAGAAAGCTCCTCGGTCAGTAAAAGCTGCCCAAGCCCTGAGGAAAGACTCTACAGAACAAGCTAATACCCAGTCGATGAGACGGGAGAGCTCTGAGTCACCCCCAATCCATCCTCTCAGCAGAGAGAGCAGTGAAATCATTGCCTCCCAAGCTCTGAGGAAGACCGAGGTCAAGATCGAGACACAGCCCAACGGCTCCGAGGTCACCACGACCATAATGGAGATTGCAGACCCGGTAAAGACCTTTTAGCTCATCATATGTACTTTACTGGTGGTATTTCACTGTACGATTGGTTAGAGAAACATGCTCTGAAGACTGTAATTATGTCAATTATCATCAATTACATGAGTGAAATTACGTTCTTTTATTACTTACATGCACTGTGGTGGATCTTGTAACTTCTGTTTGCTGTCTTAGGACCATGGCATCAGCGGTATGCGAGAGGCCGCATACTCTATGACAGAGAGAATCTCTCCTGTAAGTATTTTCATCTGGTGAACTTGAGTTTCCATACCTCCTTCTGTCTTTGCTTCTACTTTATCATTTTGTCTGTTGCTTTTATTTCCACCTTTAGTTCCAGAGTTTGTTTCAGATGGCTTGCATTATTTGTGAGGTATAACACTACCTTATAGATTTCTTGTTTTGACAAGTGTTTATTCATTATATTCTTGAACAGGTGAACCTGGGATCATTAGCTAGAGATGGTTCACCTTTAATGGTGACTGAGAATGTAACATCAGCCACTACAACTCATGTTACTAAGGTATCTGAAAAAAATATCTTCTGGTAGTCAATTTTTTAGGAAAGGCCTTCTTGGAGGGTTGAAAATGTACATATATATGTGTTTCTGTTTTGTAGACGGTGAAGGGAGGCTACTCGGAGACAAGAATTGAAAAAAGGATTATCATTACTGGTGATGATGATGTTGATCAAGATCAGGTAGGTGCAGAAGGAACTAGGGCTGGACATTTTTAATGAGATATATGATTTATATCAGCTTTAGAAGGGTTAGTTCATTAAAAATGAATATCTTGTCACCATTTAGGCTACTCATACTCAGATCATTCCAACCTGCATGACATTCATTCATAGTTGGAACACAACCCTTACAGAAAAACCACATGAACTTCACACGTGAAAATCATGTTAAAACGTGGTTTAGGAACATTTTCATGGTGTAAATGTGTGAAACCCATGTGATCACATGTGAACACGTGATCACATATTGCACGTGTACACATGTGATCACATGGGTTCCACACATTTACACCATGAAAATGTTCCAAAACCACATGTTTCGTGTGCGTTTCACATGTGATCACATGGGTTTCACATATTTCACATGTGATTTTTTTAGTGCTTCTGGGACCCGTTGCGTTGCGAGACAGTTTGCTCTTGCATGAACAGCCATGTAATGAGATTCTCTTGTGATAACATATTTTGAGATACATTTTTATTTTGCACCCAAAGCAATTCCCATTGCTTCATAAAATCTGGAGTCACATGGATTTCTTTGATGATGCTTTTTGGAGTGTGAATGTTTAGACTACCTAGACTAATTGCATTGATGGACAAAAATCTCGGTCACACTTTTGTTGTCCACATTAGTTTGGGGACCAGTTCTCACTTCTATCAACCATGACTTTTGCCTCAATAGACTCCTAATTTGCTGCTTATTAATAGTTAGTAATGTAGTTAAGTTTAGGTGTGGGATAGGACTAGGAGATCTAAAATGTGGTCATGCAGAATAAAGGTCCTTCCACACTGAGTCCAAAATTTTCATATGCATTTTTTTCATATTCATCATCCTAAAAAAATCATCACACACAGAAACCTGAGTCCGATTGCATATTAATTAATTATTAATAATGATTTTGTTTTCCTCTCTCTTCTTAAAAAAAGAAAAAGAAAGAGGAAATATCGGGTCCATTCAATCCTGAGATAGTGTAGAGAGGAAGGAGAGTTCCAGCTCCTTATCAAGGAGCTACGGGATTATCCCAGGCGATTAAAAATTTACTTCAGGATGTCAGTGGCTCAGTTTGATGCTTTGCTAGCGATACTGGAGCCACATATTAAAAACCCCCCCACCAATTTCCATGAACTCAGTGTGCAAGGACCTATACAGTGCTTTGTGCTGCAAGATGAAGTGGATCAACTTGTCAGATTCCATTCTGGATTTTAGCGTTCGCTTGTACCGTGGCTCTGAATTGTCAAAACACCTCCCAAAATGCTTGCTATGGATGCGAAAAATGCAGAAAATCAAACCTGATCAGAATTTTTTTATGATGGACGAAAGTTTCGTAGGCAGTGTGTAAACGTGATTGACACGTGAGGTCGTATTTATTTTTTAACGTGCAAAAATTTCGTACTCAGTGTGCAAGGACCTTAAAGGCACAATATGTAAGATTTTTGTATTAAAATATTCAAAAACCACTAGAACAGTGTTATATATTTTGCTGACTTGTGTACTTACATTATCCCAAATGTTTCGAAGAATGTTTAAATCCAGAGAAATAAGCAATTTTAACTAGTGACACGGACCATGTCCATAGTGTCATTGTGTCGCCTGCCAATGACGTCATAACCCCTCGATTTCCGGTTTTGTAGAAAACATGGAAACACCAAAGACGCTTTAATATGTTGTGTGCTTTATTAGACCGGTGACGACCGCACAGAGTAGCATAATAACAGAACTTTCAAACGTATCTAGTATGATAAAACAGCGCTGCTTTTTTCACCACATATGCACGACCGTAAGGAGCGGAAGCCTTCGACTGTGGCATAACAAAAGCTTCGCTGCTTTCGAGCCGTGTGTCGCGCTCGTTCAGCGGCCTCGTTTCGCTTCGACGGCTTTCAGCCTCACCCTGCTTCATTCTACTACGTTAATAAATCATTAGCTCATCCATGAACATGATTTCTGCCCCGAGTCCCGTCGGATTGCATCGGCTGTGGGGATGAAGACGACAACTCCCATGATTCCACACTCAGTCACGGCGTCATCAAACTACGCCTTTGTTTCTGTTTTTTTTTAATACGCGCCCTCTAGCGGCGAAAAATTACATTTAAGGCTTTATACTAATAAACAGCTAATATGATATTTATATGCATGGTAATAAGTAACTAGTTAGTAGTGAGAATTGGTTCTTAAAATAAAGTCTCTTTTTTATAAATTAAAAAAAATATATATTTTATTAAAAAATATTGTCATTTGTGTTACGAAGATGATCAAAGGTCTTACAGGGTTGGAATAGCATGAGGCTGAGGATAGGGCTGGGCGATATAGCAAAAAAAATGATCAACTATTGTTTGGTATCGATAATTATTGACATTTTTTATAACCTTTTTTAAAACAAAGAGCAATATATTTCAATGATTTATCTATGAACATCATTATTTTTTAATAAAAAATACCCCCAAAAATATTAACTTCACCTCCCCTCGCAACAAAATCTCTTGAAAATCTCGGTGATGACGGTGAGGAATTCATACCACTCATACCACTATTTATCACTCACATGAGATTACAGAAATTAGCAAACAACAACGATTCAACTGGTTCCTGATGGACAAAATCAACATCATCATACATTTTTCTTGTTATAGAAGCCATTTCAAAATATGTCACAATAGGAAAGAAAAGAAAAATCTGCTTCAAGCTGCCTTTAAAGGGCAAATTAATTAGTCAGAAAGCATATTACTAATTCATTAGCTGCATGTTTTTCTCATTTAATTTGAGTAATAAATTACTTTTTCACAGGCGCTTGCCATGGCAATAAAAGAAGCCAAGCAACAGCACCCTGACATGTTGGTAACCAAGGCTGTAGTTGTCAGGGAAACAGAATCTTCCACTCAAGATCCACATGAGGAATCGAAGGTATTTGTCACCGCTAGCCTCTGCATGCACAATTAATCCATCCATTTCGAAAATGCATATTATGGTTTCACTTCAGTGTTTATCTGTCATATTGAGCCTGCTGGTGTATAGCAGTTTGACAAGGGTGTAATGACATGTCAAAACCAGTTCAGTCAGCTCTATGTGGACGGCGCTGACAAACACACTCTTTTATTTTACTGCAATCCGTGCAGTTATAAAAAATCTATGGCAAGCCTTATTGTGTTCCATCTTACAACAGCAATCACTTATTGGCAATGAAGTGGATCTTCTAATAAATGGTTGTTACATGATCTGTTTATTTGTTTTCCTCTCCATTAGTCCTGATCTCCTCAGTTCTCAGGACTTCAACGGGAAGCAACTGTTCCTCAATGACTGCCAGTGGGTCGCCAACATCTACAGACCTCTTATTCTAAGCTTCTAGCTTCCACTTACATACACGACACTAACATTTACACGTGCACACAAACACATGCTGCCTCCCAGATGTCGGAACCTATTCCTTCTCATGTAATTTCTATTTTGTGTCTACATTCGCTGTGGTAACATGGACATACTGGTTCAGGAGGCACACGTTCTCCTTGGCTGAGGACCGCTGGGGAAGGACAAATTCAGCATCACATCGATCAGACAGATGATTTAGCCGCCATTGTAGTCTCTTGCTTTTTCTTCACAAATGTGAAAACTAACCAAGCGTACTATCGACAGCCCGATGCTAACATCAAGCATGAGGCATGGGGCTTTTTGATGAACATTGCTGAAGATTTAGCTTAGTGGAGTGACAGTAGTGTCTATTGAGTAGTTTTTTCTAGGGTTCATTGAAATATAACAGAAGATCTTTTTGCAAATACTGAAGTGTAGGGAAAAGCCTAGCTAGCGTACATACGGTATGTCGTGCATCTCTGATCAACAAACGTTATGTTGCTGTTAAATTCTGAACCTCATCTGCATGTGGCAAAGCAGGATTTAAAATGTTTTCATATACAACCAACTAACTAAATCCTCTGGTTCAGTGTCCTTATAAACCAGAAAGAAAAATGAGACAGACTGTATTAATGTATGATTGCCAAACCCTTTGATGGTCCTCTGAAAAGTATTTATTTCCATATTAGACATAATATGGAGATAGTGGACTTGCACATTGTTCCAGAATTTTGATTTACTGATGTATTTTTTTTATAGATGTCTATAATTTTTTTGTTTATTTGTTTTATTTCAGAAGCCCTTACATATACTTAGTAGATACAATGAACAGAGAAAAATTAAAAGCGCCAATTTACAGTCCAAACATTTCAAGGTACCAGTAGTAATCAAGCTTTAGTTTTTAGATTCAAAATATCCCCAAGTATGACATTGTTTTGAAATGCACGATACAAAAAGAAAGACGTTTGCTTGTTGAATGCTCTATTTCATCTATACATATTGTTAAACTGAAAAAGTCCAAAGAAACTAAACCTAATTTGAGTTCAGTACATACTGACACACTTACATAATTAATCAATGTGTTATGTGCATGTGCATTTAAACCTTAAGCATTTGAACAAAGTGCAATTTATTAGGATTGCAGAAAACAATTTATAATTTTTTTCCCAACAAGCCAATATTTAACAAATTCCCTACTGCTCTATATGTTTGAGACTTCTGATTTATTTCTTTTTACAATGTTCCTTCCCACACAATGCTGTGCCAACGAACTAATGATTTTTAAACACAGTTAAAACTGTTCTGATTTGTTAGATATGAGACCTTTTTATGTGTAAATGTCATGAGCCTGTGGTTTTCAGTGAAGCGTGACCCTTGAGCCATGATTCTCTTTACAAACGTTCCTCAGTGAAAGCAGTACAGATCCTGGATGAGACGGGATGTATATGTGTTCTAGTATTGAATGGATGAATGAGCTTCGAATTGTGTATTGCCAAATTAAAAACTTTATATTAGGATGAAAGAAGGCCAGGATAGCTCTTAATAACCTTTGCTAACACGGTAAAGGCTCGTTGTTGTGTAACTAATGCATTTGTTCAGGACTGTGCACTATGTGAAAATAACACTTTACACAACCTGCAGGTATCAGAAGGGAAATTTGTATACGTCATACTTCCAACTTGTACAGTTACTGATTTTTGAGGACACGGGAGCTGTTCTTGAATATAAAGAAAAGAAGTGCCATGCAAAGGTTGATAGTTGGATTCCTAATCAACCACAGCATTCTTTCGCCAGCCCATTTGCTAAAGCCTGTCAGAGTTTTGTCTCTTTACAAGGCAATAATGTCCTTGTTTACGCTGTACATGTTGCATTTAAGATTTAAACTTTGAGGAAAAAAAAGTTAATCTTAGAAAAGTACTTTTAGCATCAATTCCCCTGAGATTCCACCTGCAGACACTTCTGTTTACAATGCTATCCTCTACTTTCTACTGCTTGGTTTTGTGTGTTTGCTGTACAGTGTTCGAAATAAATAAGATCCATCCATGTGGTCAAGTTTGCTATTTGTTGCATCTGAGTTAAACATTACATTACTGTAAATTGTGTATTATCCAACAGCGGTTTATGTACAAGTATTTTCCATTTTTGTGTATTATACAACAACGGTTTATGTACAAGTATTTTCCATTTTGTTTAAGAAATGTTGCATTTGTTCTGTCGCACTGCCCTCTTGTGGTCTACTGAAGAACATACTTCAAATCGTCAATATATAGCCTATGCAGTATCATGTCTCTAATTTCATAAAACACTTCTGATTTTAGCACGAGAGTATAATTGCTCCCTGAAATATTAACAAACAGTACAGAGTTGTCACTAATATCATCAGTTATTATCAGGATTAACCCAGTAAAACTTGGCAAAAGTAAAAATTAACAGATAAAACAAATGGTCACCGAACAGCTAAATTTGGCGCTGTATTCCAAACTTTGCCACTTACATGATTGATGCAGAATCGAAGACAGCTTTTCTGAGGGAAGGGTTGTCCAGTTTCACGTCAAGGTTTTTTAATATTATCAACTCAAAATGCTGGCAGAGTGGTTGCTTTTGCTCGTTTGCTGTTTTTCCCGCTTCCGATTCCCGCGCTTGATCACAGACCTGGGTGCGCGCAGATGCAAACAAGAAAAGACTCAAACAAGAAGTTACGTTTTCTAAGGTATGGCACTTTTACTTTTCTTTCTTAAATTAAACCTTTTAAACGTATATAACGAAATAACATTAAGCTAAAGGTTACGTACCACTTTAGTTGGAAGCACACAAACATAAGAGCTTGTAATCTTTTCTGACATTATCCCATCTCTTGCTGTTAACATCAATTTAATAATTGGTGCTTAAAGGAGTAGTCAGTATAAAATACAGGGTAAAGGTGCACCCTGACCGATAATTGTCTTGGACATTTTTCAGAATGTGAAAATGTTGAGGAAAGGGCAAGTGATGACTAAGAAAAAGTCTTTGCATAGACAAGGTTGGTAAGAATGTCCATCACACTAGTCTCACTAAAAGTGTTTGTGTTAGGTTACACTTTTGGGCAAGTCTACTGTTATTTTCTGTGTTAACTGACAGCATACCATAAATTACATCTATAAAATATATTAAATTATATTAAAGAAGTCTGGCATTTATAAATAAATAAAATAAAATGCATGCACAGATGCACTATTCCAAAAATGATCAATAACACGCATTTAGAAAATAGACAGGATGAATTTATTTCATGCTGACTAGCTTTTTTACTTTCTAAAGTATTTCAGCCAGATGCTGCCTGTTTTTGTAGTTAGCCAGAGCTATGCTTAAAATTTTCAGTATTTTAATAATTAAATTAGGCATGTTAAGCTCATTCTCAAAAAAGCCATCAGGAGGCCCTCTGACCTCACCTTTTGCACCACCCATGAATTTGCATCCCTTATGATATAAAATTTGCATTCTATAACAGTAGAAATTACGATGACTAACTCACAAGTATCTTAAGAACATTACTTGTGTTCCTTCATTTATTAAAAGCAGACAGTCCATTCAAATACTGTATTTCAAGCCACTACAGAGCCAGTTCATGCTAAACAGCTTGAAAATGGAACATAAGCATTATGTCCTATGTATTTAATGATCACAGCTATTACCTATAGAAAGCACCTTAACGGAAAATGAAACGCTGGTCTTTTACAATCAAAATATCTGTTATACATCATCAAATAATGGAATTGTAAATGAACAAACTAAACCAGAAAAGAAATCAAGACAACTATTTAAGGCTGTTCTGGTCCTGAGGATATTTTACATACTGTTTCTCATTAAAGAGGCACACACACACTAGCAAAACAAAGATCTCAGTGCATGACTGAAGGAACAACCAGCTCGAGACAGCCAGAGAGCTCTTTTACTGTATAAGTAAGGCCAGCAGCATTAGCTTCGTCTTTCAAACAGACAGGGGAGCATGTCATCACCGGGGGACTGTAAACTCTGTCTGATTTGAGGACAGCTGATTAAATAGGTTGATGGTCTTATAATGAAAGTGTCTGTGAGGAATGGCAGTAGGGATTCTCTTCAAAGGAGTTCATTACGTATTACCAAGCTTCTTGTGGAAAAGGCATTTGTGTGGTTCTCCACTGCCAACCGTCTAATGGATGAATATGGATTTATCTTATCCAAACAGATGTCCTTGTATGTGAATCCTTAAGAGTGAACTGTATGTCATTTTATGCCCTTGAATATCCTGTTCCTGGTTGGAAACCACTTGGGTAACATCCGTCGACACATTTATCCCAAAAAATGCAATAGCTCTTACTCCACTGTCTCGGCAGCTTTGGTGTCAGTGATCAAAACCAGATTAACAAACGTCCTCTTTTAAAAAGCGAGAGGAAAACTTTCCTTCTGAAGAGTCTCGTTTGTAAAACATACTGGACAAAGACAAGTGGATCCACTTGTAGATGTTTGTACTGTTCAGTTCATCTGTCATAAGAAAGTCCTGACCGTACAGTAGAGTGATAGTGTTATGAGGACTGGAAGTGCTTTCCTATCTGGGGCAAATCCAATCGCATGTGCAACTGCAAAATATAAATAGAAAAAAAAAAATATTTCAGTAGCCAACAAACAACAAAAAACAAGATGATTACAGTTTCAAATAGGGTGTGAAAGGTATTCTGGCTCTCCTACAATTTAAGCCTAAGAGATTCTCACTTGCTTCATGTAATTTATATAATTACCAAAAACTGCATTGACACGATAGCCTAAAAACATCAACCAGGAGTTCAGCATACTGAAGGATAATAGTTATAAATGCCATAAGGGCTATAAGCAGACCTGCTATCCTGGGGATGGTAATCTGTTTGCTGCTGCTCCCTTCTCCACCTTCGCTGACTGGTTTAATCTGGATGATGTAATCCTCGTCCACAGGCAGGGAGAGCTCAAGAGATGTGCTGTTAGTCTCCACCACGCTGGGCCGACTCTGTCTGCTTTGCTTGTACATGACCTTCAAAACAACACAGCTGCTGTAAAACTCGCTTACAGACCCTTTTTCTGTTAGTAAGCATTGTGACGTTTTTCTGTGGGTGGAGCTTAGGTGGAGGCAGAAAGATTCCCCTGACCGCTTCACTAACACTAGCTTTGTTAGCTTGTTTTTTTCAACAATGACTGGAGAAAATCAGATTTTACCTGCATATGTAAGATCACTCACTGTCCGGGATCGCGACTGTTATTTGAAAAGGTTAACTTTAACGGACGAAACCAGATCGGCCGACCCGTACACACTAGCTCAAAGCTTGGACGATCTGACAGGATTCCCTCCAGTTGAGTGACTCACATCTAACGTGTATAGTAAGACAAACTCACCGTGTCTATCTAGTCATGAAGATGTATATACATTTCAATTTCTGCAGGCAACTATTTTTACAGCTACATTATTATTCCAGCCACAATTAATCACAACAATGTATATACAATTACAAATGATTAAACATATAAATCGTCAGTTTGTTGTTTTACACATGCACACAGACATTATTTCATACACAACATAGTCGTGAGATGCATAAGAAATCTTTAGACGCACCCATAACAACAAAAGACAATACTTTATTTATCCTTTTCTGATAAGAAGTGTGCACTGCAAACACAAGTATTTTTGACGATTGTTTCTGTCCAGTCCACTCGTTTTATATGCGATAAAATTTCTAATTTGAGGCTGTATTACGTCGATTCCGGCACCCAACATCACAACAAGATGATATTTTAAGCTCCTTATGTTGCCGAATCTGCGCTGGTTTGCATTGGCCGCCTCCAGTTTTCCCTTTGTTTTGCCTCCAGCTAGCGCTGTGACGTAATTGTGACTTCGGCCCTAAAAGGGTCTATACATTTAAGTACTAAGTAATATTAATTAACTACATGTACTTACTATATGGTTTTAGTGTTTGGTTTAGGGTAGGGTTGCCCAAACTCAGTCCTGGAGGGCCGGTGTCCTGCAGAGTTTAGCTCCAACTTGCCTCAACACACCTGCCGGGAAGTTTCTAGTATGCGTAGTAAGACCTTGATTAGCTGCTTCAGGTGTGTTTAATTAGGGTTGGAGCTAAACTCTGCAGGACACCGGCCCTCCAGGACCGAGTTTGGGCACCCCTGGTTTAGGGTTACTTGCATGTAATTATGCATAATTCATTGTTATTATAATAGTAAGTACATGTAACGTGTAACAAGGACACCTTAAAATAATGTTACCTAAAACTCAATTTATATGTAACAGATGATGGACCGTTGAATTCATGGTGTGCTTTATTTAATATTTATGGAACATATGGTAATATGATCTGAAGCAAACATTCAGCCATGTTGTTGCATAAACAGATATAGAGGCAGTGATTTTTGTATGTTCATACCTTATAGCCCATAACTTCAGACTCATTCTCCAGAGACTTGACATGATCCCACTTGAGGATGAGTTTAGAGTCTGTAGTATTCCACGTGACTTTGACTGGAGACTGACTCGGTGCTGGAGAAATACATTCAAAGAGCTGAACGTCACACTTCAGAGCAGTTTAAAACTGCTGTACAGTTAAGCATGTTAAGTTTGAAACTGCAGCAGCACACATACAGTACATAGACTTACTTAAATGTTAACGGAAGCTCAACTGTGGAGTTCATTGGTTCTTGCAAATGAGAACAAATCTCATTGGTTCTTGTGCAACAAACGATCATGTTTGAGCAAATGTTTACGATATTTGATGAACTCCGTGTACTGTATGTGCATTGATCAATGCTTATATGTGAATAATAGGCTAATTTAAAATAACTTATTATATGATAAATTTCTACGATATTTATATGAACTTAATGAAGTGTGAAACTTTTGGGAGAATGGACATTCAGTCCTAGTGGAAGGACTGAAAACTCTTTTAAGGTTTTATTAAAATATTTTCATCTGTGTTTCGAAGATGAAAGAAAGTTTAAAAGAGTTTAAAAGGACACGAGGGTTAGTAAAAGATTTTCCTTTTCAGATGAAGTATTCTTTTAATTTTCCATCCTAATGATGAAGGAAACACCCTGAAATAGGGTGATGTTTATAGACAATAACACAATAGCCAGGGTCCATGTCACACTTACGGGGTCTCTTAGTGGTGACATTCACCACAGCACTATCAGGTCCAACACCTGCACTGTTATAGGCTTTGAGTTTGATGTAGTATGTACTGCTGGGGTCCAGTCCACGAATGACAGCAGACGTCCTGTTTCCCACAGTCCTCATCACACTGGCTGTGTCCGGTCTGTCCTTTGTTCTCCAATACCTCAGCTGAAATTCACAGTCAACTAGCAGTCATAATCAGCATCACAAAGTGTCAATCACTGATGAAAATTTATTGGAGCTGTGGTGTTCATGTGGGCTGTCATGTGATATATTCAAGTCAGTCTTGCTTACTGATTTTCTGTTTCTGAACTGAACAAAATATCTGACATTTTCCGCCAATATATTCATTTTTATAGCATTGTTTATTGGTTGCTACTGCATTAAGAACATGAATAAAACTGGATGCGAGAATTGTTATAACAGCACAGGGAATATACTTACACAACTTTCATATAGAACAAACCCAGTGAGATTCATTAGCTTGCTTTAGTTGTGTTGTCCTCACCTCATAGCCCATTATGCGTGTCCTACTGGTGCTCCATGGTAAAGGCTTCCAGCTGACCTCCACTTCTGAGGCTGACAGGCTCTTGGCACGGACGCGACTGGGGGCACGACTGGGCTCTATGGTCAGAATAATCATTACCGTAATATCTCGGCATGTTTAGGCTCATTATAAGAGCACTGATGCACTGATTTATACTTTCTGATGGACTGAACTAGCGAATGGTCTTCAGTTGTCTTTGCATATTAAATTAAGGTTGGTAAATTGGGTTTACCCTCTTCTGCTGAGTATATAGTGGTCACAGGTCCAAAAAGACCTTCTCCTTTGTTGTTGTAAACTCCCACTTTCACATGAAATGGAGAGAATGGAGGGATGCTCTCGTTTTTGAAGATGTATCGGGATGCATCAGGAGATGTCACGGCCGCCTGCATCCAGCTTTGACCACCAAGAGGGCGAAAAGCAACCACGTAGCCGAACCCTGGACCACACTGCAACTCTTCTGGGACTGGCTGGAGAGCCACACAAGCACCCACAGACACAACACAAGTGAGAGAATAAGCAAGTGAAAGATGTATCATTATAACAGAGCAATGTTATACAAGAGGCTTTGTCTCAGTAAAAGCAGACTATGGAAAATCCCTTTCACGGTCCTTGAACATATTTTTCGCTTTTCACATTCTGAAATGTAATTGCTAAAATCCATAAACATTTTGTCTGCCTGACTGAAGAGTATCTGCCTTTTTTAAACAAGAGCTGTTTAAATCTGACAGCATGATGGGACTGTTTTTGATACAGGCCAGTGGACGGTCCACCATTGACAGCTACCTTTGTGCACTTAAATGTGCAAGCGAGAGCTTGCTTTGTTACCTCCCAAGTGATGACAAGCTCTGAGCGACTGCCACCTCCTCCACTGACTCTGGCTGGGGTCGTCCTTGGCACTGCAGCATTAAAACAAGAAGACTTTTTCAGCCAGTTTTACAAGATGAGAAAAGCCAGAAGTGCAGACAGGGCATTTTCTCCTCCATCTGTTTAGCATGATGCCACAGAGACAGCTTCCTGGCTGCTTCTTGGTTCTGAGCGAAAAGGTTTAATATATAGTATAGTTGGAAGAGAACTGTGGAGAAGTGCCTTGTTTTATTTTTACAATCCCTGCTGGCCTTCCCAAAACTTCCCAATATACTCACGGCAAAGTTATTTTTTGTTCTTCACCTAGAAAAAGTTGGAAATACCTTTGCAGTGGTATACTGTTATCGAACATGATTTAGATGAATATGCAAATATGTGCTGCACACTGTCATTTCGGTAACAAAATAAACACACAAAAAAGCACTTTATACAATAGATTGCGTTAAAGGGGTCATGAACTGAGAAACCAAAATTCCATTGATCTTTTGACATATAAGAGGTCATTGTACCATAAAAACATCTTTATAGTTTTAGAACTCAAAACTTTGATGTTAGTCTAAAAACAGCTTATGTTGAAGGCAGTCTGCCAAAACGACAGCTTTTGGAATGTTCTACTGTATGATGTAATAGTGTGCCTCCGCAGAAGAAGATCAACTCTTGCTTCTATATCACTGCCTGTTTAGCCCCACCCACCGATTCGCACATGTAGTGTTACGAGAGGCAAATGCGCAGGTCTATGCAGAAACCAAATGATAAAGATGGCTCTGAAGACAAGAAGACACTGTGCAGTGCCAAGCTGTGGAAGAACAGTCTTCCTTCTTTGCCTTCCTTCTGATCCCAACGTTAGGAAAGAGTGGATGAAATAACTGTTTTTATTACGTGATCACTATGGCTTTGTCTCTTCTTACAGACGATTGACATGTATTGAGTTATTTATGCATTTTTGACCTAAATCACAGCAGCATCTATCTATGAGGAATGTATGCTGTCAAACATACACAACTGTTAGCCAATCATAGCAGTGGGCATTTACTTCAGAGTCTAGTAAGTGGACCTCAGAGAACAGTACAAAATAAAAAAAAACAAGGATCAAAGTAAACATGCAACTATATACTTACATGTGTCCTTGGTCCTGATTTTTTGTGAGGGTTTGCTGGGTTCCCCGGTGCCTATGGAGTTAGTGGCCAGCACTCTGAACTCATATTCAACCCATGTACTCAACTCCACCACACGGGCTGTCAACTGCTGCCCTCCCAGAGACTCTGGCACTGAGAAAATAAGAGATATTTCAATATATTGAAAATAGATTTCCAGAAACCTGAAACAAAATAATCACTTGGAAAACTAGCTAGAGGCTGGAGACACAAGGTCTGGTCCAATATGCAGCTTTTTATGACCAAGAACCAGACACATAGACAGGAAGAGTGATTGGCATTAAAAGCAACCAACTTTTTGTTTTTACTTGCTTGTACCCTTGTGAAAAAGAACTGCACTTAATCATGTAGAATGCACTTTTAGTGAACTTCTAATCATAAATGTATATTTAACTGTACTTGCAGATAATATAATATGTGACTCTGGACCACAAAACCAGTCACAAGGGTACTTTTTTTTTTTTAATTGAGATTTATACATCATCTGAAAGCTAAATAAATAATTGTAATGATTTTTGACATAAAAGAAAAATCGATAATTTTGACCCATACAATGTATTGTTGGCTATTGCTACAAATATACCTGTGCTAATTATGACTGGTTTTGTGGTCCAGGGTCACATATTAAAGGTGGGGTAAGCGATTTTTTAACATAAACTTGTGCGTATTTGACAGCTTAAGCGCAATAAGACATGAAAAAGAACTCACATGCCATGTGAGAGCCACTTTCTGTGCGTTCGCTTCGGATGTGTGCGCTCAGAAAACCATATATCAGAAGTTTAAACTAATATGGCTTTAAAAGGCATGATTTCAGTGCGATAGATATAATAATCAAAACCAAACCAAACAAGCTGTAATGGTGCCGCTCTATTCTGGAAAAGGGGGCGGGGAGCAGCTGCTCATTTACAATTAAAGAGACATGCAGAAAAATAACGTGTTTCTGCTTCCACTCAAAATAGGCATTTTAAAAATTATATAATAAATGATCTGTGGGGTATTTTAAGCTGAAACTTCACAGACACATTCTGGGGACACCTGAGACTTATATTACATCCTGTAAAAAGGGGCTTAATAGATTCCCTTTAAATTATTGTTCTTTTGTTGTGCTTAAAAAAGAACAATTATTTTGATGTGGTGACTAACATACTAAAGCATGTGCAAAGTACTTGATTATAATTTTAAATTAATATATTTTAAATGTACTAATTTACAACTTCTTCATTATTTTAATGAATAACCATATTTTAAAGACAACACAATTATGAATACCATATAAAGATGTACTCGAGTCCTACTTAAATGGGTCAAAAGGTTCAGCTAACTGCATTTAATATAAAACTAAACTAAATTTAGTATCAATTTAATTAATACATTTTCATTTATTTCCAATTAACAATCTGAAAACATTACATCTGGGTTAATCTAAAAACAATCATACAGTGTGGAAATAATACTGTGATTAATGCTCATCTCCTCAAGGTTGTACAGAAAGTACAAAATAAATTGGCAGAAAATGTGTGTATACTGTCATGCCCCTGGACTGTCTGTGTGTGTTTGTGTGTTTTTGCTCCCCATGTGCTCTCCATAACCTAGTTTCTCCCTCATGTTAATTGTTTCATTGAGTCCAGGTGTGTCTAGTCATCCCCTCGTTAAGTTGATTACATAAGCTCTGTTCTGTTCTGTTTGCTTTGTCTGGCGTCTAATGTCTTCTGGTTCCCTGTTTGTGCTGCGTGGATTCCTCTGTTTGATCATTAAAGACGGAAATTTGAGTTTATTCCTACGTCTCCTCGTTCCTCGCTCCTTGCCGTAGCAGCAATCGTGACAGAACACCGGACCTAGAACAGTTTAATCAGCGTGTTTTACCCCGATTTGTTTCCGTTTGTCCCACAGTGTTTTTGTTTCCGATGTGCTCTCCCTTATGGATCCCCTCGCTCGCCCTGAATACCTCCTCCTCCTGCTGGAGCAGGGGGAGCGTTCGCTCGAGGACCATACCAGACTGTTTCTGGCCCTCGCCGAACTCACCAGCTATCCGGACGACTGCGCGTTCTATGACGGCAGCCTTTGAACACCACTTGCAGAGTGGCGTCATCTGAAGATGGTCCTCGAGCGGATTTCGCCGCCTTCGTGGAGTGGATTCTGGCGAGACTCCTCACTCCTGACCCAGTGCCCAGCCCACCATCTCCCCACTGTGCGGAGCCAATGCCTGCTTGCCGCGGTTGACGAGCCGTTGCCGTATGCATCGACAGTCACCCCCACGGACTCTGTTTGCCGGCCCCCTCCCGGGTGCCCGTCCTCCTCCCAAGTTCCCACCCGTTCCCCCCCTCTGTTGTTCTACGGCGCGAGGACGCGCCTTTCCGGGAGGGGGGCGATATGTCACGCCCCTGGACTGTCTGTGTGTGTTTTGCTCCCCATGTGCTCTCCGTAACCTAGTTTCTCTCTCATGTTTATCGTTTCATTGAGTCCAGGTGTGTCTCGTCATACCCTCGTTAAGTTGATTACATAAGCTCTGTTCTGTTTGCTTTGTCCGGTGTCTAATGTCTTCTGGTTCCCTGTTTGTGCTGCGTGGATTCCTCTGTTTGATCATTAAAGACGGAAATTTGAGTTTATTCCTACGTCTCCTCGCTCCTCGCCGTAGCAGCAATCGTGACAGATACATTGTGGTCAGAAAACAAAGTTGACTACTAAAGCATTTTTGAAACATTTGATTGCACTAGCTTGCAAACTTCAACAAGCGAGATTAGTTCCTGAGATTAGAGGTCTGAACAAAGGATAAAGATTAATTAAAGAAAAGTTTATGAAATATTGCCATCATAAAAGCAATGCTAAAACACTGAAAATAATTTATAGGCCTTGTGCCAAACTAATCAAACTAACTAACAGTGGTGACTAAACAGCACTCAAGGATCATTATGATAAACTGTGCATTTTAATCCACACTATTAATTCCTGCACACCTGTTTTGGCTGCCTGCCATCCGAGAGAGAAAGGGCTTCGGATCTGAATGTAGTAAGCAAAGAGGGGACTGTGGTTATCAGGGCCAGGACTCCAGGACACAAAGGACGTTGTCTCTGTCACTTCATCAACTTTAATATCCAGCGGTGGGTCAGGGGGACCTGTGGGGAAATGATTATGGAACTTACACATATTTTTATATATTTTTTACATTTTGGTAGGTTTTAACCTGGTGGTTTTTACTTTTAAGTTTAATCTAAGTGGGGTTTTGTCTTTGAAATCTTGTTTGGAAAAACATTACCTCGTACCACAACATCTGTCGCTATAGACGCACTGTCCACTTTAGTCTGTACGGCACATGTGTATCTTCCTGCGTGCCTTAGCTGAATGTTACGAATCATGATGTCACCAGCAGATGTCTGTGAGCAAAAAGCAAAATGATATTTACAGATTCATGTAAGCCATTTTATAGTCTTATAGTCTGTTAGATTCCGATTTTCTGGTTTCAACAAATCAACAAACATGAATATCAGAAAGCAATGCTAAAAGAATGACACGTACCCCACCAACTTTTTCAAAATATCCCCCATGGCTTCCAAAATTGATCAGCTGCTCGTTGAAAAACCAGGTGAATCTCACGTCCAGGGTAGGGTCACGAGATACCTGGCATGGAATTACAACACTCTCTCCCACTGTAACATCCAGCTGGGTGGCTTTAGAAGTGATGATGGTTGGCTCTGAAATAACAATGAGATGGTCAGCAGCTAATATATTTATAATTGAACATTACTAGTCATCAGTAGCTTGGTGGAGAAAACAAAAGTTGTATTTAAGTATATTACGACCAGGCTTAAGATGAGACATGTTGAAAATTAGTTAGCCTAATATTATATATATATATATATATATATATATATATATTTCTTCAAAACCAGGTCAATATGAGGACGTTTCTCATCTTTCTGACTGAATTTCTGAGATTAAGATCAATTTCGTAATACTGGCTCTGTAGCTTTATCAGTTCATGGTGTTGCCTTGGAGTTACAAAGTCATTTTTGATGTCAACCTGTAATTCGAGTCTTTTGTGCAGAACACTAAGACCTCCTTCTTTCGTCTTAGAAATATTGCTCGTTTACGGCCCATGCTATCCTTTATGCTCATGAAAAGCTGATTAACTCTTTTGTTTTCTCACATATTGACTACTGCTATGCTCTCTGTTTTGGAGTTTGTAAGTCTTCCCTCAACAAACTACGATATCTGCAAAATTTGGCAGCTAGAATCCTATCTGTGGCCAGGGTTGGTGACCATATGACCCCTATTTTGAAGTCTTTGCACTGGCTCCCTGTCAGGTACTGTATATTTCAAAATCCTTATGCTAATGTATTAGGTTTTGCATTATCTGGCTCCAGAGTATTTGGCTGAACTTCACACTCCTTATGCACAACTTGCAACTTGCGATCCTCTCAGAGTGGTCTTTTTATCCTGTGCTCAGAATTCTTTGGCTGACATTAGAGAAGCACATTTGTTAGGTATTTTTAAATCTTGTCTTAAAACATTTTATTTCAGAATTGGTTTTAGCTACTTGATTATCTGTTCTATTTTGTTATTTAATAATTCAGCATTTTTAGTCCTAGTTGTTTTTTTTTTTTAGATTGTTTTACATTGTTGTGCTTGCTTTTGTTGTGGAACGCTTTGAGAAAGTACTTTTTAAAAGTGCTATAAAAGTTTCTAGCTTTCAATACCGCTTGATCATTGGTGTAATTGTTGTTTTGTTACGGTTGTGTTTTCAATTTGATAGTCTTGTTTTATTCATCTTAGTTCTGCGTTTTTATTCTATTCTGTACAGCACTTTGGTCAACTTTGGTTGTTTTTAAATGTGCTTTACAAATAAATATTGTACTGTATTGTATTATTATTATTATTATTACTACTACTACTACATTTGAGCTGAGGCAAGAAGTGCAATGAGAAACACAATTCTACCACCACTAGATGTCACTATGCTGTTACATTTTCATCTGAAAGAAGTCTTGCAAGTCAACAATTCTCAATTCTGCAAAAAATATTCTCAACCTTTCAAAATATCAATACATACATCAAATGAATGCACCTGTTATTAATATGATATTAATGTTAAACAACTTAAAACATAACTTGTCTGATTGGGTGTTAAAACTCCATTAAAACAATCCATCCACCCATCCATCCATCCATCCATCTATCTATGTATCAAAATAACAAGTAATTGTCAGACACTTTTTTCATCATTTCTGGAAATCAAATCAAATCAAAACACAATAAAATATTTTCTATATCATCACATCTGTCTGATATTCCTCACATGAAGTTAATTTAGGATATGTAAAAGAAAAGGGTCAAGATGACAAAAACATGCAACAGTGCATATTAATAAAACAGTCGGTTCAGCTTTAATTTACGGGATGAATCATTACTGATTAGTAATCTCTGGATTCCCTTGTGCTGAATTATTCATGCTTTATCACGCACCTCTTGCAGAGATGTCTCTTTAATACGGCAAACACGTGGCTTTTGCTGGAGCAATTTTATTTAAACAGTTTGCACATTAACATGTCAAATAAACATGTATTCAGGATCCAGGCTTTCATGTGAAAATGAGAATGAGAGAAGAAACCAGAGAGTTACTATAGAAACCAGTTTTAAAAACAAGAAGGACCACCAAACCGCTGTTCTAATTGAGCGCTGGTATTGTTCACGCCGTCTTGTCAAAAGGGTGAAGAATTCACAGAGTTGCAAAAAGGCTGTTTTAGATGGATTTAAGCCCTAATGAAACAGCACAGTTATTTCCACACATATCATGCATCTCTAATGCTCGCCAAATAAATAAATTCCCCATTAACCACAAGCACAGTTCATCTAGAGAGTGTGGAGATAAGCAGCTTGTGCTTTACTCTTACACTGGCAAAGACTGTAGATCGATAGAAAATAGTTATTTTATGTCATACAAAATAATGTTATGCAACACAATATGTTTTATAGAGTACACTAACATTCCAAAGTTTGGGATCAGAATACAGTAAAAACAGTAATATTGAGAAATGTTATGTTTACTAACTTTTCTATTTGAGTATATATTAAAATGTAAAATTTATTCCTGTGATGCAAAGCTGAATTTTCAGCATCATTACTCCAGTCTTCAGTTTCCTCCAGAAATCATTCTAATGTGTTTTGCTGCTCAACATTTCTTATTCTTATCAATGTCGCTGCTTACTATTTTTGTGGAAATTGTTATATTTTATTTTAAAATTCTTTGATGAATACTAAATTCAAACGAAAAACGTTTATTTGAAATAGAAATGTTTTGTAACATTATAAATGTCTTTACTGTCACTTTTGATTGATTCATCACATTTCAAATTAAATCAGATTATTGGGCATTTGGTTTTGTTTTGTGACAATTTAGAATAAAATTATTTCATTAATGAAACCTGTCTCTGAACTATTCCTTGCTGTTAAACCAGCTCTGATATAGTCACTTTAAACTGATGATAAAAGCTCTCACTTTTAAAGTTTTCTTCAGTAGTTTCTTCAGCAACTTTCACTAGCAAGACTTTCCCCAATCACAAAACAGCAACATTCTGGCCATGGTTTCTGCTAAACAGTTCAGCCAAAAATTAAACATTCTGTTATTATTTTATCACCTTCTTGTCATTCCAAACCCATATTACTTTCTTTATTCTGTGAAACACAAAAGGTGAATTTTTGGAGAATTTCCTGACCACTTTTCTTTGTATTGGAAAAGAAAATGGGGCTGGAACTGTCAAGCTTCAAAATGACAAAAAGCACCATAAAAGAATTATAAAACTGAGAATTTGTGGGAGAAGTATAGACCGATAATACCAAGGTTGCCAGCTTTGAGATTTTGATGACGGGGTAAATTAGGTTAGGCAACAATTCAAGGCTAATGCTGTACAAATGACACCTTTTCTAAACTTTAGAAACAATTTTCAATTACACATGCTGTTTTAAGTAATAAAGATTGATTGTTTAAAATCACTAAATCACTCTTTATTAAGATTCCAATACAGTCACTGTTCCTATAAAATATACTTTCTTACATAAATTTGGTGTTCAACAACAAATATTTAATGAAAATCATATTTTAGTGTAAATTATTGCGCTGGAATCAACATTCAGCTTCTGAGCTTTATACATGATTTCCTGTGATTGTGACTGCAGTCAGGGATGGGCAGTATTTCAGATACATGTATTTAAAATACGTATTTGAAATACAAAATACTATTTTGTATTTTGTATTTGAAAGCCTTTAGCAACAATCAAATGTAATTTGTATTTAAATACATTTAAGATAAGTATTTTTGTATTTTCAAAATACATAAAATACTTTGTGCCAGTCAACCCTCCCTTGTAAAAGTATTTTTTAGTATTTTTAAAATACAAAAATACAGTAGTTTATTTTGATACTTGGTGTGGCTGCTGTATTTTGTATTTTATTTTGATACACTTAAAATTAAGGTATTTGGTATTTTATTTTAAAATACATTTTGATGTATCGTTGCCCATCCCTGACTGCAGTGCAATGTCATATTAACAATCAGTCTATGAGCACCATTTCATGCTGTATATAATAAAGCAGAATTTCTTTGGTGTTATGGACTATATAAGACAGCATATTGTGTCCAAACTAACATATTAAGCATAATAAAAACTACATTTCCATGTTCCACTACAAGTGCAGAAGAAAAAGAGAAAATGAACTGTATGCTACTTTTATTAATTGTAGTGCAGGGGCCAAAGCAATGAAAAATGTTGAAGAGCAGAGCGCGGGATGTGCTTCATTTACACCGCGACCTTTCAGTATGCAGTGGTCTTCATCACAGCACTGCTGAAGAGAAAATAATCTGCACCCACCACCAAGGCAAACAGCTCTTTTTTATGGACATGCCAATGTTTGCAAGAGTTTAGTAAGGGGAATTTTTTAGAAAGGAAGGCATGTTGACATGAGAGCTTTCAGCAGGCATGTCATCCTCATGTCTTGTGGAATTATCGTCGATGGTTTTCCTCAAGCTGAGGCCAAAATTACACTTGCATCGAGCGGAAGATAGTAGGGGAGAAGAAAGAAAAAAAAACAGTCAAAAAGAAAATCTAGCTGAAATCTGAAAATCCAGCTGTTTTATTATGTGAGCACCATTACATAGTTTTGTGGCTTTTTGTTTACATCTGTTAGCACACACATGCCAGATTATTTCTAAAAGTTGGCTAAATTAAAACTCTAGACATGTGTAAAAGGTCAATACCACCAAATACGTCCTTGCACAATAAATAGGAAATATTGGAACAAGGCTATGACATAAAATAAAGGCTATCTATTATTTTCCTTTAAAATAAAATGTCCAAAATTCAAAGGAAATACTTCACGCAGGGAGGAAAACTGAGCTAGTCAAGCAATTTGGTAACACATTAAGCTTCTATATGTTCTATCAATATTAGCAATATGCAATAGCTAACATGAAATAGCAACAAACAATTCCTTTATGAATTATGAATGAACATGAATTACGAGTTATCCAATGTGGAGATGTGCTTTTAAATGTCTGTGTATGATGTGTGTTGAATACCCTGAAGAAGGCACTTAAACCGAAACGTGTTAGTATACTTTTAAAGTATTAAAGTTCCCTTCATCATAAGTATAGTGCTGGATTCTTTTTTCACATTCTTGACCATAGTTTGTTTCCATGCACCTTGTGAAGTGGTAAAGTGTTTCCAGATCACATCTCATGAACTTGAATTAACAACATTTATAAATTAACATTAGCCTAGATTTAAAAATGCTGTAAAAATGGTTGTTGATTATCACTATACTGAATTCATTAGCCAATGTTAGCAAATCGAAGCATATTGTAACATGTTACAGCAACTTCACTGGGTCTTTAGCACATTTTTAAAAATCAGTCAGCTGTTTAATTATGCATGAATAAATTTATGCAACTTTTACTTATTTATGCACAAACATGGGAAAGCTGGAAACTGTAAAAGGCTACAATCATATTTGCATAGTACAGTCAGCAGATTTCCAACAAGCACTACATTACAAAAGCAAAATCAGGCATAAAGAAATGAAAGCAATTTTTCTCTTCCCACATGATCATTACAGAAGAAGCCTGAAAAGCTAGTCTTCTTCTTCTCTCTCTCTCTCTCTCTCTCTCTCTCTCTCTCACAATCACAGTCCCAGTAGTGCAGCAGTGTTTAATGAGAGACCCTGTCCCTCTCATACCTCCAGCTCTAGATTGTGGGTGGATGTTAGCACAAGGCTGATGGACAGTGATGGCTACTAATGATTTTCTTACAGCGGCTCCAGACTCGAGAGTTCAGTGGTACTCTCTCCATGGAGACACAGTGCCATACTGCTTAATTCCTCCATGGATTCATCTAAAGTGTATGCTAATGAAATATGAGATGCGCTGCCTTACATGGGTTATAAAAACATATTCAAACACGAGTCCTTGATCTGGAGGCATTAAGAGTGGAGGTTCAGAGCTGTTTTCAGGTTCTGCCCAGTCAATGTCGTCACATGAGGCTTACAAACGTGCTTAGATGCTTGCTGAATTTAGCTCTGGGTCAGTCAAGCTAGAAATTCTATATGCAAATAAAAATCATAGTCAGTGTGAATTTTGATGCATTATCCTTGAATCAAATGTGACTGGATTTCTTTGAAGTTAATTTTCTTACTTATTCTGTACTCAGTCATACTTAATTCTCTGATGAATGGTGCAAAATCAGGCATAAAGAAATGAAAGCAATTTTTCTCTTCCCACATGATCATTACAGAAGAAGCCTGAAAAGCTAGTCTTCTTCTTCTCTCTCTCTCTCTCTCTCTCTCTCTCTCTCTCTCACAATCACAGTCCCAGTAGTGCAGCAGTGTTTAATGAGAGACCCTGTCCCTCTCATACCTCCAGCTCTAGATTGTGGGTGGATGTTAGCACAAGGCTGATGGACAGTGATGGCTACTAATGATTTTCTTACAGCGGCTCCAGACTCGAGAGTTCAGTGGTACTCTCTCCATGGAGACACAGTGCCATACTGCTTAATTCCTCCATGGATTCATCTAAAGTGTATGCTAATGAAATATGAGATGCGCTGCCTTACATGGGTTATAAAAACATATTCAAACACGAGTCCTTGATCTGGAGGCATTAAGAGTGGAGGTTCAGAGCTGTTTTCAGGTTCTGCCCAGTCAATGTCGTCACATGAGGCTTACAAACGTGCTTAGATGCTTGCTGAATTTAGCTCTGGGTCAGTCAAGCTAGAAATTCTATATGCAAATAAAAATCATAGTCAGTGTGAATTTTGATGCATTATCCTTGAATCAAATGTGACTGGATTTCTTTGAAGTTAATTTTCTTACTTATTCTGTACTCAGTCATACTTAATTCTCTGATGAATGGTGTCCATGTCAAGGGAAGTGACCTTTAAGCCATTTTTACCATTCAGGGTGTGATGTTACGTCAAATAATGAAACTGGAGACCTTCTCAGAACTTTATATTAGGGATGCACCGATAGCGATACTGGTATCGGTATCGGGCCCGATACTGAGCTCCTGTACTCGTACTCGTTAAAATGCCCCGATACCAAACGCCGATACCAAACAGCATGTGATAAGTGCCATATTCAGACAAAGAAACACCCACAACAGAACAACAGACAGCAGAATGGAGTTAAGGATGTCTACTACGAAGTATATGTATGCAGCTGGGTGACAGCATGCTCAGGAGACTACAGGCTGTCATTAAGGCTAAGGGTTGCCCGACTAAGTATTGATAGTTGTGTAAATACTGTCATACTAACAGCTGTCTGAATATTTTTTGGTTGATTGTAATCTATTACATACCTTTCTATCAAAGTTATCTAACATTATCAAGCTGAATTTGTTCTGACACAGTGTAACTCTGAGTTCTTGTCATATTTTATTACCATTTTCTAAACTATAGCGAATAAACTGTGATAATGTGAGAAATGTTGAAGGTGTCTGAATAAATTTTGGTTTGACTGTATCTATTTGATAAATGAAGTTAACCAACTAACATTATACACACTCTTTTGGTTTCTGTACCCAATATATAAAAAATTTACAAATGCAATAAAAATATTGGTATCGGTACTCGGTATCGGCAAGTACCAAAAATAAAAGTATCGGTATCGGGCAAGTACTGGAAAAAGTGGTATCGGTGCATCCCTACTTTATATGATGGTCTACTTAATATACTACTGTTCAAAAGGTTGGGGTTGGTAAGTTTGTTTATTGTTTTTGAAAGAAGTATTTCATGCTAATAGTAAAACTATTAAAATATTATCATTTAAAGTAACTGTTTTCTTTTTGAATATAGTTTAAAATATAATTTATTCCTGTGATGGCAAAGCTGAATTTTCAGCACAATTACACATTTTCTAGGATTCTTTGATGAATATAAAGTTTAAAATAACAAAGTTTAATTGAAATAGATAAAAAAAAAAATTCATTATTAATTTCTTTAAAAAAATCTTGACCCCAAACTTTTAAATCCTAGTGTTAATCTTTTGTTTATATATATATATATATATATAATCAATAATATTTTAAATATGAAGTGATAACATACAAACCGAAATGCAAAATTGCGTATTGTTATCTAATAATTTCTAAAATTATGAACTTTGTAAGGAGAGACCCCCTTTATTTTGTTATTTTGGTAACACTTTACTTAAAGCCTTTATGTATAATGCATTATAAAGGGTTATTAAAGTGTATAATGCATTATAATTATTCATAATGTGCATTGTAATACATCATCTTCATAATACATACATACATAATCTTCTAAATAATTATAACTGAATTTAAAATGCATAATGTTACAATGACTTGATAAGTTTTATAATGTATTACCGTATTGGCCTGAATATAAGACGGCCCTGATTATAAGACGACCCCCCTTTTTCCAGATGTACCTTTTGGAAAAAGGCTTTTTAAAAACCAAATCTTGTTTTTTCTCAGTAAAACACATTTTGTCTTCAATTATTTTCATATTGCATATTTTTCCTATTTTAATTTGGTTACAATTATTCATGAAATTGTAAAATGCATTATAAGGTGCATTACAAGCCATAATTAAAGCCTTTATGTATAATAATGCATTATAAAAGTAGTTTTAATGCATTAAGTAAAATGATACCATTATTTTTATACATTTATTGTAGGTTAATGACTTAAATGGGTATATTGCTTTCTTTGCTTACATACAGATTGCCACTGATTTATATTATGAGCCTAAATGCACTAATAGACAGAATCTTGTAAAAAGCATAAAAAACATCTATTTTGTGATTTAATAATTTTTGCATAAGAGGCATTTAAACCAACCGCCTAAAACTATATAAAAATAAAAAAAATTAAAAAGTCCAAATGAACTTTTACTCTACTACTTTTTATATTACTACTAATTACAAATAGTTTATGAAACTACAGATTCAGTAATCAGTGGTTGGTTGATTGTTCAAGTGCCGTTGATACTATTCTGTCACCTGAAAGAGTTATTTTCTAGATCAAGTAAATGCAAATGCAGCGGCTGCTGTTGTTGAGACGTTTTGATGTAAATAATCAAGGCTTTGATCAGTAACAACCCTCTGCCTGACCTGGATCATATTGCTCTGTCTGTATCACTTTAATGAAGAGGTTCTTGGCAGACAAAGGGAAATGGGTTGGTAAAAATACCTGTGGCTCTCTCGCAGGGCTTCTTTGCCCTTCCTCCAGGAGATCATCCCGCGCGGGGACATGCGGGGCCTGCACTCAATCAAAACATCTCCACCCTGCCGAGCCAGTGTCTGTGCCTTTAGCACATTATTGGAGAAATCTGGTGCCACTGCTGATGTGTAGAGAAAAACCAGCATCTTACAAAACTAACAGACAGATAGATTGACTGACTCCTGAAAGTATTTAGGAAGTCCTTGTAACATGTAAAATGTCATTGCATTAGATATTAGATAAAAAAGGACATTTTTCAAACATTTCATGTTTTTTACACAACAGACATAGAATACAAAATGTGGAATAATTATTATAAATATAAATACATGATTACATTAAATCATTTCATAAAGTGTACTTTAATTCTTCCTTTTTTCCCTCATTACATCAAGACAGCTGTATCACACTGACATTTTTGCTTTCATGCCCCAAATAATAATACATTTGAATTCAGAAATGAATTTATGCTCGTCATAGAAGATTTTTATGCAAGTAACTGATGTATGAATTGCATTTTTCATATACATTGCCATTCAAAAGTTTGGGTTCGATTAGTTTAATTATTAATGTTTTTGAAAGAAGTCTCTTCTGCTCTCCAAGGCTATTTGTATTAGACAAAAATACAGTAAAAACAGAAATATCGTGAAAAATAATTACAATTTAAAATAACTATTTTCTATGTGAATATACTGTATTTTAAAATGTAATTTATTCCTGTGATGCAAAGCTAAATTATCAGCATCATTACATCTGCTGCTTATCAATGATGAAAAGAGTTGCGCTGATTTTTTATTTAGATCCTTTGATGAATAGAAAGAAAAACAACAATGTAAATGTCTTTACTGTCACTTTTGATCAATTGAGTGCCTCCTTGCTGAATAAAAGTATTAATTTCTTTAATTTTTTTTGTATACTGACCCCAAACTTTTGAAGGGTAGTGAATAATAGAATAAATTAAATTTAAACATTTGAATAAATTACCGTATTGGCCCGAATATAAGACGACCCCCCTTTTTCTAGATGTACCTTTTGGAAAAAGGCTTTTTAAAAACCAAATCTTGTTTTTTCTCAGTAAAACACATTTTGTCTTCAATTATTTTCATATTGCATATTTTTCCTATTTTAATTTTTGTTTTGAAAGTATGGTAAAAACTGGTAAAATGTACCAACAGGACAAAACAATTGTGTCATGTCATGTCACAGACTAATTTTCTTCCATACAACCTGCTATATCTCTATCTGTTTCCCTCTTTGCTAAATCTCATCGTCGTCTCACTTTCCAGAGGCATGCGAGGAGGATGTTTTTAATGCGATATCCTCACTTAAGAGCACACTCAAGAGCTCACGCTATCCCCCGCACACCACTAAGTCAAACCGAGTCAAGCCAGCCAGCACAAATCTAAAGGCTCTAAAGTGCGAAGACTGTCTACCTCACATCTCCCCCAGGCAGCAATTTCAGCATACTAGACTTTCCTGCCTGTTTGGCATCCATCTGCACTCAGCGCTGACAGCATCAAAGCACCCATTGTGCTGACAAATGACAGGACTAGGGAACAGAGCACTTCTCTCATCTGCCCCATGATAAAATGGCCTCGAACGTCAACTCCTTTAATCTTCAGCGCAGAGAAGGGTTTGATCATTGATCCTGTCAAAAGTTATTCTGCTCCTCATAATAGCGGGTCAACTGTTTTTAAATGCAGCGTAAAAGGGTGTAGTAAGACTAATGAGTGCTGGCGTTTGCTGACAATGTGGTTGGAATGAGCTTATGAGGAAAACAAAACCCAAGTACTGCTACACAGCACTGCTGCACCAAAACAAACTGCATCTGGCCAACTGCATATTGGCTATATATTTCAGAATATGAGTGGCTATGTCTTTAGTAACTATGAATAGTGATTCCTTACCAGTGACTTTGAGTTCAGCGTTGGCAAACACTCGGCCGTGACGGTTCTCAGCGATACACTGGTACATCCCAGTATCTGACAGGGTCAGACTGCTGATGGATAATGCCCCGTTTACCACCTGGATTCTGTCCTGGAAACATAACAACAATCCCACAATTCAACTTAACTGAGAAATCCTAAATATATGTAATGTAATGTTTTCCTATCTTCTGCATATAGATAAAAAGTGACGTGACATGTGGCCAAGTATGGTTACCCATACTCGGAATTAGTGCTCTGCATTTATCCCATTCTAAGTGCACACACACAGCAGTGAACACACACACACCGTGAACACACACCCGGAGCAGTGGGCAGCCATTTATGCTGTGGCGCCCGGGGAAAGATCGCACACATTTAAACATGAAATATGCAAATATGTCCACGAAATAACATAAAATCATACCTAAACTCTTTTGACAGCTTTGATCAGGGAAAACAAACTTTCTACTGGAACTACTGGAAATTTCTATAAATAATGCAAATATATCCTTGCTATTTTTTCCGAAACATTCATAGTTATTACTTTTGACAGGGCTTTGTGGCAAGCTATATGCATTTATTATCATACATTATCATCATTTTGATCAGTGGACACATACATTTCATGTTTAAAACTACAGAAGGTATGTTAGTGGCAAAGACAGAAATCTCCAAAATGTTTTTCCAAGATTGATTAATTAATTAAGATAATTAATTTCAAATAAACAATAAAATCGGACAACAACGGTATCATGAATGTTGCTTCTTTAGCTTAAATTCCACAAAACAAACAAACAACAAAACTTTATTTTCGAGGCAGTTCAAGATTAAACCAATGCAACAAACAAACTAGGGGGAAAAAACTTTTTATTTAACTTAAAAAGTTACTCATTTATAGACAGTGTTATTTAACTAAATCTTTATTTAATTATCAGAAAATGCAAAGGCTATGTAAAATGCACAGCATGGATTTTTGGCAACGCAAACAAATCAAATGGAAATGAATCATCCGTACAAACTGATTTACTCGACTGAATCATACTTCTCAATGCTACTTGTTAGATAATGTTAGATATTTCATCTTAGATAAAACCATCACAACAACAAAACAAAAAAAATGAAAGGAGTGGGACACCACCAAAGCATACCATATTCATGGAAAGTGGCTGCTATAAAATATTAAAATGACAGATGTGAAGGGAGCAGAACGGAGGATGAATCTAATCCCACACTAGCAGTGGATTGCTGCTGGTGGGCGGTCTATAATTTTTTTATCCTGGAAACACTTACTCGTAAAACCCCTGTTATGCTACCATTGCGCTCACATGAGTGTGAAAAAATTTGAATGGTGCATTCAGGTTGAATGAACTGATATTTAAAGGGCTCAAATATCTTCACTCGCTCTCTGCATGTGGGCACTTCAGAGTCTGCTGGCATTAGCTTTATGCCACTTGAATTTCATTGTTCCAATGCAGCTGATGTAACTCTCTGGCCACATGATTCGCCTCGACATGGAGCATGACAATCTAACCGATATTATAAACAGACCGCTTCGTATGGATGCCATGTTGACGGGGGTAAACTAGAGAAGATCAGTACAGCCTCTAGCAGCAAAGACAAATGGTGGCATAAATCAGCTTTATGGGGGTAATTAATTAGGGGTGACATTCCACTGAAATCAGCACTTTCCCTCTCGACGGGAGAGCACCGTTTGAATGGGCTGTGCTGCACCAGACTGATTAAGTTGCCCACCTGAATAGACATCGCAAAGATTGCCCCAACATTATTGGTACTGGCTTGGCATGTGTGATATTGTTGCTGAGGTAAACATTTACACAAGCAGAGGATGATTTGGTGTAGTAGTACCAGGGATAAAATCAAAACAAAACGTAGGAGAACTGCAAACTTTTAAATATATTAGGGCTGTCACGATTCTTCGATTAAATTAGAGTACTGGATCAGGGCTGTACAGTGCGACATATATGTCGCACGTGCTACGAAAAAACTGGTCTGTGCGATGAATAAATTTACCACTGTAGCACGCGTGCGATACAGTTTTGCATGTTCATAACAATTATAAAAAATCATTGATTGCATTTTGACCGATTATCCGGCAAAATACCGGAAGTGGCGCATTCCACAGATGAGAATCCATGAAAAACATTATTAGACCATTTTCTAAGGCTGCACGATATATTGCAACCATATAAAAATCATCATAAAGCATAATGCTATTGTGAATTCACAAAGGCTGCGATTCAATTAATTTAATTTAATTTATTTTACATGCGTATAGGTTATGTGCTTTTCAGAGTGACAGAAGTAAAGTTGTTCAGAGTAGGGCTGCACGATAAATCGAAATGGAATCGAGATCGCGATTCGACAGAAGCTGTGATTGTCATGCGTATCTTTCAGTGAAGCAGGGTTCTGTGATCAGTAGTAAATCTCCATCCAAAGGCAAGAGGGCGCTCTCGCGCTGAAACTCCAAATACGCCTCGCAGAAGAAACCCAGAAAATGCCTATCGCTGCAGCTGAATAAACAGAAGATTAAACTGCTTTCATTGATTCAACGTGACTAATAAACACACGACTACGGCAATATACGGTTTATCTGAGTTCTTATTATTATAATTTTCATTAAAATAAAGTATATTTATAATGCAATGCCTTTATCACTGCTTAGAATACTATGAAATATGTTGCGTGCCTTATTCTGTGTAAGAAGCCACATCATCTCACAGAAGGATTTATTTCAAACACTCTACTGACGTTATGAAGTGAGTTTGGAGTAAAAATATGTTATTAAATGTGGTATTTTCACATGCTTTCAGATGGAGCAGCATTTACTTCACAGAGCCGTAGTTCACTGAGAAGCTATGCAAACAGCTGTCATTATCGCAAACGATTTCTTCGATTTCAGAATCGCACAATAAAATCGTCTGCGATTTTTTTGCGCAACTTGTCAGTGAACTACGGCTATGTGTAGTAAATTCTGCTCCATCTGAAAGCACGTGACGATGATTTCCTGCTGATTACAGAACCGGCTTTTTTAACAAAATGCGCATGACATTCGATTAATCGTGCAGCCCTAGTTCAGAATAAATATTGCTCCACACAAACAGTTATCATTTACATGCATCTTTGCATATGCTGTGAGTCTGAGTTGCTTATAAAGTTCATCTGGGAACAATGTGCACCATTCTATCAGAATATTATAAGGTAATTAATTTTTAAACCTACACAAAAACAAGAGAATACTGCATTATCTTTCTAAATATGCAAAATGTTCATTGCAACTTCAAAATAAAAGCTTAAACCCACATGTTCTTGTTTAAGAAATGACAGTGTCTGTAGCATTTCTATAAGTGTCCAAACATTAATGATTAAGTGGATATTTGAATTAAATGTTGTTTAGTCAATATTAAACAAGGATTAGATCCTTGTTTAATATTAGTAAAGATTAATAAAGTGTAAAAAAAATTATCAGGCTGTTGTAACCCTCTGCAGGCATTTGATATAATAATATTGTTTTATTGCATTATGTACTTTAACTGTTTTATCCAATAAAACCATATGATTACTTGCTTTTGATATTTTATTTGAACCATTTATTATTGCCTCATTGCTATTATATATGTATTTTAAGTCATTTTAAAGTCTGTTGTTCACTTTTTTATTACCACAATTCCGATTACTCGATTAATCGTCAGAATAATCAACCAATTACTCAATTCAATTCAATTCAATTCAATTCAAGTTTATTTGTATAGCACTTTTCACGATACAAATTGTTGCAAAGCAGCTTTACAGAAAATTAAGTTTCTACAATATATTTAGTAGTAGCTTGTCAGTGGTGACTATGTCAAATTGATGTACATATGGCAGAAATGTACGGTAAAATTCAGTTAATGACGTAATCAAACAGACAATTAACACTATCAACAGCAATGATTATATGTTGCAATCAAACTTGTAGCAAAATTTGGTCGTTTAATTACTCGTTAGTGACAGCCCTAAAATATATAATTTAAAAGTACATAGAATAAATACAGATTATACAACAGTTAGTTTTAGTGCACTCATAAGAATGAATAAGAATGGCATTGCTGATAATAGCACTGAACATTTCACTGTTTGTATCAGTCTGTAAGTTTACTATATACACTTTTCTGTGGTTTGCAATATTGTGACTGATCTATTTAGTTTGTGGAGAAAAAAAAAAACTGCTTGTATTTTGTCTGAAATGTCTATTCAGCCTGTGGCCTCGTGCCCACAGGCAAATCACAGCTGTGTTAAATTTCAGTACAACTAAAGTGCCTTTAAGACAAGTTATTTCACTCAACAGTAATCTTAGTAACACCCAGGATAGCTGTTTTCTGTGTAGGCAGTAAACATACAGGTGCAACTTACTTTAAAGGGCAAAAAAGTCTCCAAAACTGTTTTTCAAGAAAGTTATAATAATGCATTTCAATTTCAAATGAACCATACAATTTGACAATAGTGGTATCATAAATGTAGCTTCTTTAGCTTAAATCCCACAAAACGAACCAAAACAAATCACAACAAAAAACTTTAATACGAAATATAGCTAATTAAAATTTAAAATAGCATATTTTGTAACCAGAAAATGCAAAGATAAATGCTATGTAAACTATTGAGTGATAGCTCGACACTATTGGGCAATAACTCAAATGAATCAAATGGAATCACTGAAATGAATCATCCATACAAACCAATTTTCTACAATGAATCAGACTTCTCAATGCTACTTGAGAGAGAGATGAAAATCTAGAAGGGCATATTTGATTACTGCCTCAGCTCGCTTATGCAGCAAACAATGGGACATAATTCTGTCAGGCTACACCACTGCTGAAAAAATAGCTTATTACTGTATTTTGAAAAATAAAAATACTGAAAACTAGAATTAAATTACTAGCGCTATACTTAGGGTTACTCTCTAACAGTGACCGTATGGAGCTTCTGTGATGTGCTCTGAATACTGCATTCAGGTGATGGTGGATAGTTTTTTTTCTGTTCATTGTAATCATCAAATAACAAACGACACTCTTCTTCTCTTTCTCTGACTACATGGATGACCTTTCGTCTGGAGATTGATCAAACGCTGAGGTAGCCGATGGTGACATTTACAAAATGGTAACACCTCAGCTCATTAAGAGTGCAGCCTCACACGCCGAGATCGTGTTCACTATCTCTTAGAGTAATGAAACAAGCTCTGTTGTACATGACATTAATGCAGCACAGAACTACTCAGAACCTTACAACAACTGAGACAAACCTAAACCAGAGCTCTGGAAATACACATGCAGAATCTTAAAAATAAACAACATAATACTGAAAAAGGCTATAGAAAGTCATTGTGTCCCTTTTTACATTTTTTATTCACATCTTGTTTTTAGACCTGTTGTGCACGTAATGTTGCCTTAATGTACCTGAACAGTTTTTATGGTAACCCTAGTGAAAAATAAATATACTAAAATGTATTTGAAATACATTTATTTCATGCTAAGTATACAAATACCTTTACATATTTACTGTATGTACTTAATAAAAATACCATGCAATTGTACTTTTAATATACTAAACTGGTATACTTAAAGTCTACTAAATTGGAAATGCTGGGTTGTTTCAACCCAGCTTTGGGTCAAATATGGACTAACCCAACTGTTGGGGTAAATTTTCTAATTGAAGTTTTAACCCAAAAGTTGGGTTAGTCCATATTTGACCCAAGGTTGCGTTGAAACAACCCAGCATTTTTCAGAGTTTAATTTTGTACTTAAAGGGTTACTCCACCCCAAAATGAAAATGTTGTCATTAATCACTTACCCCCATGTCGTTCCAAACCCGTAAAAGCTTCGTTCGTCTTCGGAACACAATTTAAGATATTTTGGATGAAAACGTCTCAGGTTACGTACACAACCCTGGTTCCTCGAGGGAACGAGACGCTGCGTCGGAAAACGCTAGGGGAACACCTTCTGTGACCACGCTCTGAATAACATGTGAAATCAGTCCAATAGCTGAGCGGGACGTCACGGGCGGGTGACGTCATGCCCAGGAAGCTATAAAAGCACGTGCGGCGGAGCCAGCGTCAGCTTCAGGAATGAGGCAAGCGCTGGCAGGGATGCCGGAAGTATGGCACCGAGACGCAGCGTCTCGTTCCCTCGAGGAACCAGGGTTACATACGAAACCTGAGACGTTCCTCTTCAGGAACTCGAGCTGCGTCGGAAAACGCTAGGGGAACGAGAATGCCCACGCCGCCAGACTTCCAAATCTCTGCCTAGTGTGGAAGACTGCACAGCTAGGGCGAGAGAAGTAGGCGGGGTGCTTCGCTCCCAAGCAAACCACGCACAGGTTGTGTGTATCCCCACTCGTGATATAACATTTTCTTTGGGCAGGGAGGAACACACAACCTACAACGTGGCTTGCTCTCGCCCTTGAAATGCTTTGTCTTTGCATGAGCTTAGAGATAGCTGGAGCTTATAGACCTTCAAAATTGACAGACAACAATAAATATGACTGACACACACAGAGCGCTTCGCTGAATGACAGAAAGCTGACACTGGCTCCGCTATCCAGCGAGAATGACGGTCCGCAGACCCGCCTTCTGCTAGAAGCCTTCGGCCTGGGAGCGCCACTCTGACTCTAGACTCTGCGGAGTACGAGAAGTGAGGCCCCCAGAATGAGGGGCTGGAACACGGTAGGTTGGGACTGCTCCGCCCAGCAGCCCCTGCTAACCGCCTCAACCTCCTCAGAGGAAGAGAGGTTAATGCGTGCTCTCACTCGAGAAATTTATATCCCAAGAGCCCCTGTATATCTAACTTCTCATAGTCAGATAAATACTTCATTTTATTCCTCAGAATTAAATGCAATCAAACAACCAGACGAGTAAATACGGTCTAGTGTAGTAAGATTCACATCAAAAAACGAAATGATGTAATATATGCGCTGCGCGCGAGCCACTCAGTCACACAAACAACATCAATCTCCTCAGAGAAAGAGGGTCGCAGCACTCACTCAGAGGGGGAAGAACCGCAGCGCGGGCTTCCAGCCCCGAGAACGAGCTCTAGATCTAGCGAACACGGGTGGAGATAGGAAGAGCCGTCTCCAACCCGTCTGCTAGATCATGTGCGATCCCCGCGTTCTCAGTCGCCGCCGTGCCTCAGCAGCAGCGGGACCGCAATCGCAAGATCACAGGCACGGATACACTCCTCGGAGCGTGCCCGGCGAGAGCGGAGCACTTAATTTTCTTTTAGCGGAAAAAACACAATCCGCCCCCCGAGAGCCGACTGCGCACGCTCCGCTCCCTATTAATGCTGCTCAAAGAGAGCCCTCTGAGAGCGAAGCAAGGCAGTAACAACTGTGCTTCGCTCCCAAGCAAACCACGCACAGGTTGTGTGTATCCCCACTCGTGATATAACATTTTCTTTGGGCAGGGAGGAACACACAACCTACAACGTGGCTTGCTCTCGCCCTTGAAATGCTTTGTCTTTGCATGAGCTTAGACATAGCTGGAGCTTATAGACCTTCACAATTGACAGACAACAATAAATATGACTGACACACACAGAGCGCTTCGCTGAATGACAGAAAGCTGACACTGGCTCCGCCGCACATGCTTTTATAGCTTCCTGGTCATGACGTCACCCGCCCGTGACGTCCCGCTCAGCTATTGGACTGATTTCACATGTTATTCAGAGCGTGGTCACAGAAGGCGTTCCCCTAGCGTTTTCCGACGCAGCTCGAGTCCCTGAAAAGGAACCGGGAGGCTTGTGACTGTCCCATTGACTGCCAAGTAAATATTTAAGTAAATTCAATCTGAATTTTATGAAGCGACGAGAATACTTTTTGTACGCAGAGAAAACAAAAATAAATACTTTATTCAACAATTCGTCTCCTCCATAGCGGCATTTTGGAAAGTATCCACTGAACAATTAAGATTACTAAAACTAAACTGAAATATAAAATAATAATGACAAAACATCAAAAAAGAAAAGTTTTATCTTAAGTGAAAAATCTACTTTCATATTGACATAATGTTGACATAATTGACATTGTTGACATAATTAAAACTGTAGTTCCTAACATGCTTTGCATGAGACTTAATCGGGAGAAGAAAAATGCTGAAATTAAGTATAATTTATTTTGTGTTATTAAAAAAGATGAGAAAAGATTGAGACTTGATAGTGTTTGATGTTCAATTACAGTATGTTGAGATTTAGATTTCAATTTCCTTCTATTCTTCCTAAATTGCTAACTTGCTCATTAGGTGCACTAAAGATAAAGCGAACCACATCTCCCACCTCAAAGGACTCGAGCAGCTCTCCGTTCTTCAGCCACCTGTAGGATGGTTTGGGCTTGGCGCTCGCCTTACACTCCCACAGCAGAGATTCATCAATGGCTTTCTGCACATCCTGAGGCTTCTCCACCAGATGAGGGGGTGCTGAGATCCATCAATAAACACACAACACACAGCGAGATATCAGCACCTCACAAAGCGCTGCTGATAAAAATGAATTTTCAACAGCTCCCTGAATCCCAGACAGACTTAGAGTTGGTTATTGATTAGCCCCTGTTAGGAATCAGTAAACCAACCAAGCAGTTTATGAGCCAATTACTGAACAAATCCAGTTATTAATCAATCAACATGGCATTAGAAAGAAAAAAAAGCATAATACTGTATGAATAATTTACAAGGACATTTAGTAAACTGCATTCACACTGAGCTGAGGAGATTACAGTACTCAGCTCTCACTAAATGTGGATCAAATTTTATGGATCTTTAGCCTGTCTTTGGTATATTGCTTTAATATTTATATTGCTTTGAGGAACAACACACAACCATTCCCAAACATGCACAAGAAAACGGTGCTAGAAAACGTGCAAATGTTACAGTTTTAACCTTGATTAAATATTTATACTTAAAGCTAGGACGATTAAAAAAAATGGCTTGAAAACATATTAAAACGAGACTATTTCTTGTGGCTTCGGTGAAGGTCGGTGTGACTTGCATAGGCTTAACTTTTCTTATAAGATGAGAGAGAAAGGAGAATACATCACCGTAGTGCAAGCGTGGACAAAGTAGAATGCTTTATAGGTATCAGTCACACTGCTGGAGCTAATAATTTTGACTTCAGCCATTATGTTATGAACAACAGTGACCCATATTGATTATTCCATAGCTCCAACAGCAGTGATAGATGGACAATACAGTCTATGGGAGATTATGGATTTTTACCTGCCAAATAATTGCAATGACAAATAATTACAACATACAGGGATACTCATGAAAATCTGACATCCTGCTTATAAAACATAATGGGGTTACAAATTAAACAAACAATATTGATCAGTGATAAACTCAAATATATAAGCATTCATAGAAGCTTAATAGTGCACATTGATTGTGTGTTTGTCAGATTATGGAAAGTGTGTAAAATCAGTTGAATGTCCAATCTGCTCTTTTCTATACAATGAAAGCTGTGGTCACCATTCTTTTACATTGCAAAAAAAAGGAACAGCTTGAACCAGAGATATTATGATTAACTAAAACTAAAACCATTAAAAAAATCATTACTTATGATAAAATATAAAACACGTTAACTTTTTTTGTTCAGCTTGTTGCCAAGACAACTTTTCTCATTTTTGTTTATTTTAGGTTGAAGCACTAAATAACTCAAATGTATTTATTCCCACCACGGAATAAAAAATAAAAAAGGCAATTGTGACTTTTTATTTTACAATTTCCTTTTTTTCACAATTCTGAGTTTATATCTCACAATATAAACTTTGTTTCTTGCAATTCTAACAAAAACAAAACAAAACAGAAAACAGGATTGCGAGAAAAATTGAGTTTACATGTCACAATTCTGGTTTTATATCTTGACTTTTTTCTCAGAATTCTGAGTTTGCATCTCACAATTCAGTTGTTTTCACCATTTTATAAACATAAATGTAATTGTAACATTTTGTCTCACAAATCTCGCTTTCCTCTCAAAATTGTGAGTTTATATCTTGTATTTCTATGCTTATTTCTCACAATTCTGAGATATCTCACAATTCAGACTTTTTTCTTGCAATTCTGAGGTTATATCTCACAATTCCCACAAATCAGTCAAGATGTAAGCTCAGAATAGCTAGAAAAAAGCCTGAAATGTGAGATAAAAGTAGCAATTACCTTTTATATTTTTTTTCATCTCATGGCAGGATTAAACTAAAACTAAAAACTAAAACATAATACTCAATAAAAATATATGCAGTACATGTGTTTAGGAACAAAAAACAATAAAAAATGACAAAAACAACAACATTTCTAAAACTAGCTAAAATGAAAAGAGAAAATATAAAAAAAATTAATAAACTAAATAAAATAACAAACTTTTTGTTAGAATCTAAATAAAATTACACTGGCTTGAACATTCTGCTAAGTATATCATTTTGTCCATGCAAACAGCGTTCATACAGGTTGGACGATTTTTAAATTTGGCTGAAATTTTCCTTCAAGAGAAAAGTACATTTATTTAATTTCTGAAATATTTCTGACCTACCGTAGAAGTAGAGACGCCCCTTCACTGTGTTTTTGCCTCTGGAGTTCTCAGCTGTGCATTCATATTGTCCTGCGTCTTCCTGTTGGAAATAAGGGATCTCCAACACTCCACTGGATTTGCCAACATCCACTTTTCTGGGAAAAGGAACTCCGTCTGGTCTTCTCCAGGTGATCGAAGGTACTGGACTGAAAACAAAATGTAAAGTTGATTGTTTAATGAGCTGTTTCCCTTTAAATAATAATAGTCTATAGTATAAACTGGAAAAGAAACCCAGTGTCTCAGTAATTGTTAGCATGTGATATTGTATAAGCAGGCTCAAGTATCAGTTGTAATATTTACTTTCCCAAAGCGAAGCACTCCAGTTTGACTGTCAACCCTTTGGCAACAGCCAAAACTTCTGAAAATTGGACCTCAATTTTGGGTTCATATTCTCCCATAATGCCTGAAACACAGAAAAAGAGTGATTATTTCCTATTAAAACCCTACGTTTAAAACCACAAAAGAGTCATTTTTATGAGCTGAATACATATGGTAAGACCATCACCATCATTGCGGAGTACGAGTGATGTAGGAGGTCCCTGCACTCTGCTTTGTGTCACAGTGTTAGTCACGACACAGGTGTAGTTTCCCACGTCTGAGGGCTCCACTTTAGCGATGTACAGGTTGCCTGTTTTCTGTGACACAAAGCGCCGCATGTCTTGCTTCACGAATGAGGGATATTCATTGAAGATCCAGGAAAAGGTCAACTCTGTCGAAAAGACAAGAGGTGAAACTTGCTGTACTGCACCACACGCTTTGAAGTTTTCAAAAACTTAGAGAATTTAATACTAATCCATTTCAGAAACCCAGTGATGTGAGTTAACAGAATCACACAGCCTTGAGCATGGCTTTCATTGTACAGTCATGGCCAAAAGTTTTGGCAGTGACATAAATGTTGTGTTTTGCAAAGTTTGCTGCTTAAGCTGTTTTGGTGTTCATTCACATTGTTTCTAGATTATGTAGAGTGATCAGATGCATTTTAAATAATTGCTAAAAGCTTCATTGGCCAAAAAAATAAACTTTTCACAAAAAAACTAATTTCACTGTTTTTTGATCCTGACACAAAATGCTACCATGAGTCCTGTGTCGTGCCAACAGTGAAGCATCCTGAGACCATCCATGTGTGGGGTTGCTTTTCAACCAAGGGTGTGGGCTCTCTCATAATTCTGCCCAAAAACACTGCCATGAATAAAGAATGGTATCAAAACGTCCTGCAAGTGCAACTTCTTCTAAAGTCCATGAGCAATTTGGTGATGATCAGTGCATTTTCCAGCATGATGGAGCACCATGTCACAAAGCAAGTGTGATAAAGAAGTGGCTTGAAGATCATTACATTGAAATTTTGGATCCATGGCCATGCAACTCCCCGGCTCTCAATCCCATAGAGAACCTGTGGTCAGTCCTCAAAAGGCGAGTGGTCAAGCAGAAGCCCACAAATTGTGATCAACTCC